TCCCAAGATGCTTTGGAACAGCAACTACTTGCTTAATTGAAAAGTAGAGATCCTCAGGGAGATTAGAAGCAAGTCCTTTGAACTTAAGGATTCTTAAGATGTGTTGCCTATCACAAAACATACTTATGCAACACTGTATGAGTCTCAGGATCACACTGATTTGTGAGAGAGGCAGACCCTTCTTGGTCAGTTTGTAAATCTGCTCCTTCACATCATCAGATGCCAACTTCAGCCAAGTGGGAACCTTGCAGTCACAGGGCAGAGCCGATTGAGACAGGCCCTTCCCAGAAGCATGTGACTTATGATGGTGGCAGTCAGGCGGCCCAGTGACTACGTCTCGAATATGTTCTATAATAATGCTTTTCAAACTCTAATGTGCCCATGAATTGCCTAGGGATCTTTTTAAAATGGTTTCTGATTCAGTGAGTCTGAGGGTGGAGTCTGAGATTCTACATTTCTAATGAGCTCCCAGATAGATTATGCCTATGTTGTTGGTTCACAGACCAGATCTGAAGTAAGAAACATCTTGAATTAGTAGTAGTAGTAGTTCAGTTAGATGACCTTTAATGCACACTGTAACCTTGGGAGTCTATAAATATGCCAGGTTGGAGTGGATGAGATAGTATAAAGAAAACTGAAGCTAGGCATGGTGGCTCATGCTTATAATCCCAGTACTTTGCAGGGCCGAGGTGGGAGGATCTCTTGAGGTCAGGAGTTTGAGAACAGCTTGGCAATGAGACCCTGCCTCAAATAAAATAAAATGATAAAAATGTAAAAACACTCATTTGAGTATACTATGTCGATTAAGAATTATTACAAGATTGAATTATGTCTTAAGTGATTTTCCACCCTGTTCTGAATATAGTTTGGAAGTAGCTAACTAGCTTTTCTTGGGAACTTAACTGGATAAGTGATGGTGTATTACAAAACTATACACCATCTTAATTGTAGATCTGCTCATATTTGAATTTCAGTTGTTTTTTTCTTTTGTGCCTTTTAGTACCAGTGTGGCCTTATGGCTGTGTGTGTGTGTGTGTGTGTGTGTGTGTGTGTGAGAGAGAGAGAGAGAGAGAGAGAGAGAGAGAGATGGGGTCTTGCTCTTTTGCCCGGGCTATGGTGTGATCACAGCTTACTGCAGGTTTGACCTCTTTGGCTCAAGCGATCCTCCTACCTCCTCCTACCTGGTGCATACCACCATGCCTAACTATTTTTTTTTCTTTTTTCTTTTGAGATGGAGTTTTGCTCTTGTTGCCCAGGCTGGAGTGCAATGGCACAATCTTGGCGTACTGCAACCTCCACCTCCCAGGTTCAAGTGTTTCTCCTGCCTCAGCCTTCCAAATTAGCTGGGATTACAGGCATGTGCTACCATGCCCAGCTAATTTTGTATTTTTAGTAGAAATGGGGTTTCACCCTGTTGGACAGGCTGGTATCGCACTCCTGACCTCAGGTGATCCACCCACCTTGGCCTCCCAAAGTGCTGGGATTACTGGTGTGAGCAACCGTGCCTGACTTAACTAGTTTTTATTTTTAATTTTTTTGTAGAGATGAGGTCTCATTATGTTGCCCAGGCTGGTCTGGCACTTCTGGCCTCAAGCAATCCTCCTGCATTGACCTTTCAAAGTTTTGGAATTTCAGGTGTGAGCTACTGTGCCTGGCCACAAATATTTTTATATGGTAGCATGTTGAAAAGTATTATAGATACTTGTTGACAAAAAGAGTCAAACTCTGTAAAACATTTGAAGAGATTTATATTCTGAGCCAAATATGAGTGGCCATGGATGAAGACACAGTCTCAAGAGGTCCTGAGAATATGTACCCAAGGTGGTTGTGTTATAGCTTCATTGTATACATTTTAGGAACACATATGACATCAATCAATAAATGTGAGATGTTAATTGGTTCAGCCTGGAAGGACGGGGAGCTTTCAGCTGATAGGTAGATTCAAATATTTTCTTTTTTTTTGAGATGGAATCTCGCTCTGTTGCCCAGGCTGGAGTCTAGTGGCACAGTCTTGGCTCACTGCAGCCTCCACCTCTCAGATTCAAGTAGTTCTCTGCCTAAGCCTCCTGAGTAGCTGGGATTACAGGCACCCCACACCATGCCTGTCTAATTTTTGTATTTTCAGTAGAGACGGGGTTTCACCATCTTGATCAGGCTGGTCTTGAACTCCTGACCTCATGATCTACCCTCCTTAGCCTCCCAAAGTGCTAGGATTACAGGTGTGAGCCACTACACCTGGCCCCAAAGATTTCTAATTGGCAATTTGTTGGAAGAGTTATCTAGAAACCTGGAATCAGTACAAAGGAGTGTCTGGGTTAAGATAAAGGGTTGTGGAGACCACAATTCTTATTACATAGATGCAGTGGCCTCCCTTAGAGATAATAGGTGGCAAATCTATTCTGTTCAGACCTTTAAAGGGTGCTAGGTCAGGTGTGGTGGCTCACACCTATAATCCTAGCACTTTGGGAGTCTTAGGTGGGAGCATTACTTGAGGTCAGGAGTTTGAGACCAGTCTGGGCAATATAGCGAGGTCTCATCTTAACAACAACAAAATTAACTGGGCATGATGGGAGGTGCCTGTAGTCCCAGCTACTCAGGAGGCTGAGGCTGGAGGATTGCTTCAGTTCAGGACGCAGAGGCCACAGTGAGCCATGACCACATTACTGTGTTCTAGCCTGGGTGACAGAGTGAGACTCTGTCCCAAAAAAGAAAATGATTCAGGTATATTATATGTGTATGTTTATATATTCTTTAGCCCTCTCTGCTGAGAGCACTTAATTGCAGTCACACCTCCTCAGTAACAGTGAGTGCACCTAGTGCCCAGCTTTTCATTTCTACATATTATCATTGTCTAAGAGGGACCAAGGCTCCTTGGAGAAATACTGTGGGGCCAGAGAGGGAAAGTATAAAATGAGCCTACAGAATTCAGTTGTGCCAGAAAGTAAGGAAATACTTAACATTATGAGGATATGTCAAAAGATACAAGAATTACTTTGAAGGGACTCACACTGGCTAAATTTCACATAATTTGAGCAACAAAATAGAGTAGGGGATTATAATTTATAGAATAAAATAAGAATCCATGAGGCCATACATATATAAATGAATTAAATGCATTTGGGCTGACAGGGTAAGCCCTTTATTAAAATGCCAACCACAAATGTAGAAGACATGATGGAATTAGAAAATCACCATCTTTGTGGTGTTTGATAATGACGAGTAGTCGGTGAATGCTAAGGCTGGTTGGTAGAGATTTGACGAGGAACAGGGTATTGGTGAATTATTGCAATAATTCCCCGTAATATATAAATCAAATACAAAGGAAAACATAGTTACTTTATAGTGAAGAAACCTGGCAGACACCAGGTTGACCAGGTGATGAAGGTTAACCTTCCTAGGGATGGGAAGGATAAATATGGTATGCACAGCATCATTTCTGAATATCTGAATATTCTTATTAAGAATGCGTGACCTGAATCTGATTACTAGGAACATAGCTGGGCCCAGACAGAATGAAAGGCTTGTCCTTTTTTTTTTTGAGATGGAGTCTTGCTCTGTCACCCAGTCTGGAGAGCAGTGGTTGCTCACTGCAACCTCCTCCTCCTGGGTTTGAGTGAATCTTATACTTCAGCCTCCTGAGTAGCTGGGATTATAGGCACATACCTTGCCTGGCTTTTTTTTTTTGTAGTTTTAGTAGAGATGGGTTGACCAGTCTTGTCTGGAACTCCTGACCTCAGGTGATCTGTGTACCTTGGCCTCCCAAAGTGTTGGGCTTACAGGTGTGAGCCACCACACCTGGCTGGCCTGTACTCTTAACGGTCAAGGACATGAAAGATGGGTAAAGAAGGAAAGACTGATTGAGGGAGACTGAGGAGGTCCATTAACTAAATGCAGTATGTGGTTCTGTATAGCATCCTGGACCTGAAAGAGAGGCATTGTTGGGACCTTTGGTAAAATTTGAATGTCCATGGTGTGACTCTGTATTATACCAGTGTTTATTTTCTGATTAGGGGGTTTGTATAGTGGTAATGAAGCAAAATGCCCTTGTTTGGGGAGGTACATACTGGAGTATTTAGCGGGGTCTGAGGGATCGTGACATAGAAAGAGATATATATACACACTAAATGTTTAAGAACACACACCTTTGGCCGGGCGTGGGGGCTCATGCCTGTAATCCCAGCACTTTGGGAGGCCAAAGTGGGTGGATCACGAGGTCAAGAGATTGAGACCATCCTGGCCAACATGGTGAAACCCTATCTCTACCAAAAATACAAAAAGTAGGTGCACGTGGTGCACGCATCTGTAATCCTAGCTCCTTGGGAGCCTGAGGCAGGAGAATCACTTGAACCCAGGAGGTGGAGGTTGTAGTGAGCTGAGATTGCACCACTGCACTCCAGCCTGGCGACCCGGCAACACTCCATCTAAAAAAACAAAACAAAACAAAACAAAAAAACCCCACACAGCCTTTCTTGAAGACTTTTTAAAGCAAAGACAAGAAACAGAACATAGTTTTCTGGTTATAAATGTAACCTTTCTTTTTTTATGTTTGCAGATTATGTCTTTTGCTATATTTGCAGTATAATTCATTTAGTAAATATTTGTTGGTTGACAAAATACTTTACTTGATTACCCAAGGATATTAACAATCCTTCTTTTTTTTTTTTTGAGACAAAGTCTTGCTTTGTCATCCAGGCTGGAGTGCATTGGCATGGTCTCAGTTCAGTGCAACCTCTGCTTCCTGGGTTCAAGCGAGTCTCCTGCTTCAGCCTCCCAAGTAGCTGGAACTATAGTTAGCTAATTTTTTTTTTTCTTTTAGTAGAGACAGGGTTTTGCCATGTTGGCCAGTCTGGTCTTGAACTACTGACCTCAAGTGATCTGACTGCCTCGGTCACCCAAAGTGCTGGGATTGCAGAATTGAGCCACTACACCTGGCTCCTAATATCAACAATTCTTTTTGTCTTCATGGGAATAATGAATACATTTTTAACCTTGTCTTTCAGAAAGCTGAAGTTGATGGTAGTTTAAGTGACAGTCACGTATCTCCTCCAGCCAAACGCACTTTGAAACAACCTGATTCTGTATGCAAAGACAAATCGAAATCAAGAAGTACTGGTCAGCGAGAGGAATGGAACTTATCAACTGGACAGGCCAGGTGAGAAAGGAGAACTCATTGATTGTTTTCTCTTAAATTACTGAATGTAATTCAGGGCTGATATTAGTGCTAATTTTCTTAGCTTATAAAGTAATGTCTTATCAATACTTATAAGTAAATTGTATTAAACTTATTTTATAATTTTTGTATGTAATTTTATTTTCTCCCAATATACTCTAAAATATATTTGTTCTATAAAGATATATGGTATGTAACTGAAACTACCATAAGTAAAACAATACAGATTTTTGACTCTTGAGTATGCATATGTATTTATAGTCCTGAAAATTTAAATAAACTTATGGTCAGAATTATATTTTTATTTGAAAATCTCCCTTTTGTAAGATTATTGGCTATTTCACTTGAATTGATATACTAAGATATAATGACATTTAAATTAATTTTTAAAGAGATCTTTTCATCTGTTACTCTGTTTTTAACTTAAATTTGCTTGTGTCTGGTTCAGTATGTATGAGAAAAACTTAATTTCAGTCAGTTTCAGAGTAAATGCTGATAATTTTCTCTAAAACTGACTAATATTAAGTTTAATTTACTCCTAAATGGTAGTTAGGTTAGGCACACACATAGAAAAAAATTATTATTTGATACGGAGTCTCGCTTTGTCACCTAGGCTGGAGTATGGTGGTGTGATTGCGGCTCACTGCAACCTCTGCCTCCTGGGTTCAAGAGATTGTCTTGCCTCAGGCTCCTGAGCAGCTGGGACTACAGGCGTGCGCTACCACTCCTGGCTAATTTTTTTGTATTTTTAGTAGAGATGGGATTTCACCATGTTGGCCGGGCTGGTCTTGAACTCCTGACCTCATGATCCACCTGCCTCCCAAAGTGCTGGGATTACAGGCATGAGCTACTGTGCCTGGCCAGAAAAGATTTAAACATTGAAATCAGAATCTTTAGCTTCTGTTTTATATAAAGTGTTTATTTTTATTTTTTCCTAATTAAAAACAATTTTTTTACATGGATCTGGGAACTAAAGGGTTCTTTAAAGTCTTTAAAGTAGAAGTGCTGATGATGTGTGACTGTGAACAGAAGTAAAAGGGAAGTCCCTTGTTTTTATTCCTTCTTCAAGTATTTAAAAATATTTTGATTCTATATGTGTAGGTAAATTCTAGATACTTTTATTCTCTATTGAAAAAAATCTTCGGGGTTTTATAGACTTTGACAGGCTTTGTACATTTATTAGTTTCTAAGGGGTCTCTGTACTTACTAAAATATACTTCATAAGATGTATCTGTTTATTGTTATTTTTTAAATTTGCATTGTCTGAGGGCTAAGTAGAAAAATACATAAATCATAGTCTGTTTATTTTTGTTTTTTTTTTCCTTTACCACACTCACACATCTGTGAGATGAAACAGGTTTGGATAATTATATTACTTTAGTACTGCCATGTAATTACACTTTTAGACTTAGTCTACCTGTTATAATCTATATCTTGCATTTATTAAATGAGTGAATCAAATATCTTCTTCTAGATAAATGTTCCTCACAATTTTTTTTAGTGTTAAAATTTGACTTTTAATATAGTAGATTTCTCTTACCTACCTACTCAGCAGGCCATTATGTAAATTGATCTTGATTTTTTTTTTTGAGTTAGAGTTTCTCTCTTGTTGCCCAGGCTGGAGTGCAATGGTGTCATCTCTGCTCACTGCAACCACCCTGCCTCCTAGATTCAAGTGATTCTCTTGCTTCTGCCTCTTGAGTAGCTGGGATTATAGGTGCCTACATCACGCCTGGCTAATTTTTGTGTTTTTAGTAGAGACGGGGTTTCACCACATTGGCCAGACTTGTCTCGAACTTCTGACCTCAGGTTATTCACCTGCCCCTCAACTTCCCAAAGTGCTGAGATTACAGGCGTGAGCCACTGCACTTGGCCAGTATTTTATATAGAAGTCTTTCATATAAAAAAGCCTCAACAATTTTGGGAGAGTGAGTGAAAGATAGTTATGCTTCTATTTAGGAATCATTTAGGTTTCTTAGAGTGAGATATTTCTCACTCTAATACAGAATACATTTCAAGTAAAATACAGAATACAGACTAAAATACAGAATACATTTCAAATAAATAATGAATACTAATACATTTACTGTTTCTGTTTTGGCAAAAGAACAATGTTTAGTAGTTCACACAATTTAGAAAGATTTTTGAGGTCAGGCATGGTGGCTCATGCCTGTAATCCCAGAATTTTGGGAGGCCTAGGTGGGAGGATTGCTTGAACCCAGGAGTTCAAGAACATCCTGGGCAATATAGTGAGACTCCATCTCCACAAAATATTAAAAAATTAGCTATAGTGGCACATGCTTGTAGTACCATCTCTCAAAAGGCTAAGGCTGGAGGATCTCATGAGCCTAGGAGTTTGAGGCTACAGTGAGCTGTGATCACCCAGTGACAGAGTGAGACCTATCTTGGTTAAAAAAAAAGTTTCCATTTGTAGTTTATTCATCTAGGAGTATGAGTCATTGTTAAACTTTTAGAATTAGAGTCTTTTGATGTTTCAGATGACCTGAACATAAAATGCCGTTTAACCTATTAGATTCAATAGAATTTAATTTTTTTTGTGTTGTTTTTGAGACGGAGTTTCGCACTTATTACCCAGGCTGTAGTGCAATAGTGTTATCTCGGCTCACTGCAACCTCCACCTCCTAGATTCAAGCAATTCTCCTGCCTCAGCCTCCCGAGCAGCTGGGACTACAGGCGTGTGCCACCATGCCCAGCTAATTTTTGTATTTTTAGTAGAGATGGGGTTTCACCATGTTGACCAGGATGGACTCAATCTCTTGACCTCGTGATCCACCCGCCTCAGCCTCCCAAAGTGCTGGGATTATAGGCATAGCCACCGTGCCTGGCCTTTTTTTTTTTTTGAGGTGGAGTCTTGCTGTGTTGCTCTGGCTGGAGTGCAGTGGCGTGATCTTGGCTCACTGCAACCTCTGCCTCCCAGGTTCAAGCAATTCTTCTGCTTTACCCTCCCTAGTAGCTGGGACTACAGGCGCATGCCACCATGCCCAGCTAATTTTTATGTTTAGTACAGATGGGGTTTCACCATGTTGGCCAGGATGGTCTCTATCCCTCCACCTTCTGATCTGCCTGCCTTCCAAAGTGCTGGGATTACAGGTGTGAGCCACTGCACCTGGCCAATAGGATTTAGTTTTAAGGAAAACATGTAGTTAAAAATATTTAAAATTTTTAGATAATATAAATACAAAAATTAAGAATTACTTGAAGGCTTGTATTTATTTTTAATGTCATGAACCTGAGAATCTTGATTCTTTTATTTTGGTGGTCTCAACTCTTGTGGGCATCTAAGTCAAACATACTGAAGTCCTTTCATGAAAAATAACTTGTTCCTTCATTCATACGGATGAAAATTTAATACAGATAAGAATTAGTATTAGCTATGAAAAATAATAAATTCTAAAGAACTTTGCAAAGACCACTAAGGTCATTAATGAAATTACTGTTGATTGACAAAATAAATTTCCATTTTAGAGTTAGGTAATTGGATGAAGATAGAGACAAAAATGGACCTCGAACTTCTGAATCTTCATAATTTATTTGAGCAAGACTATGAGTTTTCTTTTGGGGAGAAACCTGAGTTTAAAAGCCCAAGTGTATCAACTTTTTTTTTTTTTTTTGAGACCATTTCACTCTTTGTACTCAGGTGTGCAGTGGCACAATCTCGGTTCATCACAGCCTTCACCTCCTGGGTTCAAGTGATTCTTCTGTCTCAGCCTCCTGAGTAGCTGGGATTACAGGCATGCGCCACCACACCCTGCTAATTTTGTATTTTTAGTAGAGATGGGGTTTCTTCTTGTTTGTCAGGCAGGTCTGGAACTCCCCACCTCAGGTGATCCGCCCACCTCGGGCTCCCAAAGTACTGGGATTATAGGCATGAGCCATTGCACCCAGCTTAACATAATTTTAATGATTGATACTTTTAGTAAAATAGGATGGTTTTGGTCAACAATATTTTTTAATATATTTATATTATATGTGGAGATTCTTAAATATACATACTAACATAGATGTAGCTTATAAATATTTTGAATACAGAATGCTATTTTATTGACTTTTTTGTCAGCAGATATTTATTCGGTTACTAGTCATTTATTTAACCTGGTATTTATCTAGAATAATAGGCATACTCTGAGATAGAGACAAACTAAATTTTTTATAAGACTTACTGTATACTTGGCTGGGCTTGGTGGCTCATGCTTGTAATCCCAGCACTTTGGGAGGCTGAGTTGGGTGGATCACTTGAGGCCAGTAGTTTGAGACCAGTGTGGTCAACATGGTGAAACCCCGTCTATACTAAAAACACATAAATTAGCCAGGCATTATGGCAAGTGCCTGTAATTCCAGCTATTTGGGTTGTTGAGGCACGAGAATCTCTTGAACCCGGGAGGTGGAGGTTGCAGTGAGCCGAGATTGCACCACTGCACTCTAGCCTGGGCGACAGAGTGAGACTCTGCCAAAAAAAAAAAAATTTACTATATACTCAAATGTAGCATGCTTGAAAATTTCCTTTTGTGGTTAAGTAATAAGGAAGTAGTGAGGTGAGGCAAAAGTATAACCATCTATGTGGACTGCTGAGGCACATTAGAGTTGAGGAGTGCTAGTGGTTAAGTGAGGTCTATCAGAACTGGGGCTTTTCTGAATTGAGGTTTAAAACCTTCATAAATCATTAAGTGCCTTGAGTTTATATGGGAAAAGAGAATAAATATGATTTTTTAAATTTTTATTTTTATTTATTTATTTATTTTTGAGACAGAGTTTCGCTCTTGTTACCCAGGCTGGAGTGCAATGGCACAATCTTGGCTCACTGCAGCCTCCACCTCCTGGGTTCAGGCAGTTCTCCTGCCTCAGCCTCCTGAGTAGCTGGGATTACAGGCACACGCCACCATGCCCAGCTAATTTTTTGTATTTTTAGTAGAGACGGGGTTTCACCATGTTGACCAGGTTGGTCTTGATCTCTCGACCTCATGATCCACCCGCCTCGGCCTCCCAAAGTGCTGGGATTACAGGCTTGAGCCACCACACCTGGCTGTTTTTTTTTTTTTTTTTAGTTGGAGTCTTACTCTGTAGCCCAGGCTGGAATGTGCAGTGGCACGCTCTTGGCTCACTGCAACCTCTGCCTCTAGGTTCAAGTGATTCTTCTGCCTCAGCCTCCCGAGTAGCTGGGATTACAGTAGGTGGCCACAACCACTCACAGCTAATTTTTGTATTTTTAGTAGAGAGGCGGTTTCACCACGTTGGCCAGGATGGTTTCTATCTCTTGACCTCATGATCTACCCACCTCTGTCTCCCAAAGTGCTGGGATTACAGATAAATATGATTTTTAAGTCTGGTATTGCAATGATGTGTGCCCCAGATAATTAAAGCTGTAGAAAATTATAATATAATAATCACCTAATGTAAAGTGAAACCATTTCTATTTAAAAAATTCAGGAAACAGGGTTGGGTGCAGTGACTCACGCCTGTAATCCCAGCACTTTGGGAGTCGGAGACTGGCTGTAGGGGGATCACCTGAGGTTAAGAGTTTGAGACCAGCCTGGCCAACATGGTGAAACCCTGTCTCCACTAAAAATACAAAAATTAACTGTGTGTGGTGGTGCACACCTGTAATCCCAGCTACTCAGGAGGCTGAGGCATGAGAATTGCGTGAACCCAGGAGGCAGAGGTTGCAGTGAGCCAAGGAGACAGAGCCACTGCAGTCTAGCCTGGGTGACCGAGTGAGGCTCTGTCCCCTCAAAAAATAAAAAATAATAAGTAAAAGTTCAGGAAACAGTAACATAGGGAAAAAAGTCTCCAACTCACCTACCTTTCTTTAAAAAAACAAAAGAAGAGAGCTACCTGCTCAATATAAGTGACCAACTTTTCAGAACATTGATGTAATACAGAAACTTTTAGGCACATTTGTATAAGCAGGCTAACCCTTACAAAATCTCATAGGTCAGGCACAGTGGCTCATGCCTGTAATCCTAATACTTTGGGAGGCCGAGGTGGGTAGATCACCTGAGGTCAGGAGTTCAAGATCAGCCTGGCCAACATGGTGAAACCTCATCTCTACTAAAATACAAAAATTAGCCAGGCATGGTGGCTGGTGCCTGTAATCCCAGCTACTCAGGAGGCTGAGATTGGGAGAATCTCTTGAATTCGGGAGATGGTTGCAGTGAGCTGAGATCGTGCCACTGCTCTCCAGCCTGGGTGGCTGATCGAGACTGTTTCAAAAAAAACAAAAACAAAACAACAACAACAAAAAAACTCAGTGTGTTAATATCTCTTAATATACTCATGTATTTCATGTCATGTCTCCTTTTTCACTCTCTCTCCCTATTATAAAGATAAATGATGACAACAAAACGATGATAGTAATAATCTCTGACTGTAAGGTAATTGGATCAATTGAAGAACAAGTTTTTTTTTTTTTTCTTAAAACAGATCTGGCCGGGCGTGGTGGCTCAAGCCTGTAATCCCAGCACTTTGGGAGGCCGAGGCAGGTGGATCACAAGGTCAAGAGATCAAGACCATCCTGGTCAACATGGTGAAACCCCGTCTCTACTACAAATACGAAAATTAGCTGGGCATGGTGGCGCATGCCTGTAATCCCAGCTACTCAGGAGGCTGAGGTAGGAGAATTACCTGAACCCAGGAGGCGGAGGTTGTGGTGAGCCGAGATCGTGCCATTGCACTCCCGCCTGGGTAACAAGAGCGAAACTCCGTCTCAAAAAAAACAAACAGATTTTTTATTAGTAACAATAAAAGCCAAGTAAGCGTTGTCTTCTGTAGAGCAGACAAAAAGCTTACTGTGTTTTTTTCTCCAATGATGTTGCCATTGTTCTGAAAAGTTTTAGATTTCTTTTATGGAATGACCTTAGGATCTGCATCTTATTCTTTTGAACAATTCAAGTGATGTAAAATTCCAACCATTTGGCTTTGTGTACTGTGAGAATTCATTTGGTGCCAAGACTTGGGAATAAACTGACCAAGCTGAATTAATGCTTTGTTGGATCTAAAGACAAAGTATATTTTTGAAATAATAAAGTAGATTTTGAGAGTGATTCTCTAGAGTTCCAGAAATGCATTGTGCAATGGCAACATTGTAAGAATACCTGTATTATATCCTTTTTTTTTTGAGTCTTGCTCTGTTGCCCAGGCTGGAGTGCAGTGGCATGATCTCAGCTCACTGCCATCTCCACCTCCCAGGTTTAAGCGATTCTCCTGCCTCAGCCTCCTGAGTGGCTGGGATTACAGACACCTGTCACCACACCCGGCTAATTTTTTTGTATTTTTAGTAGAGATGGGGTTTTCACCATGTTGGTCAGGCTGGTCTTGAACACCTGCCCTCATAATCCAGCTGTCTCAGCCTCCCAAAGTGTTGGGATTACAAATGTGAGCCACTGCACCTGGCCTAATCATTTTGTTACTTTATAGTCAAACTCATATACCTGTAGGAACATGTGCATTGTATACAATAGTGCTAAAAGTGAAATTTTCTCCAAGAGATAGTTTATTAGAATGTTAGTTTTTTGTTGTTTTCTAGAGGAAAGGGGAGCTAGAATTTTTTTATTTTTTATTTTTGACAATCTGAAGATGCATAGTAATTTGAGTTTTTTATTTTTTTTTGAGATGGAGTCTCACTCTGTCGCCCAGGCTGGAGTGCCTGGATCCCCACTCACTGCAACCTTTCCCTCCTGAGTTCAAGCAATTCTCCTGCCTCAGCCTCCTGAGTAGCTGAGATTACAGATGCCCGCCACCACGCCCAGCTAATTTTTGTATTTTAGTTGGCCAGGCTGGTCTCAAACTCCTGATCTCAGGTTATCCAACTCAGCCTCCCAAAGTGGTGGGATTACAGGTGTAAGCCATTGCACCTGGCTTGAGTTTTTGTTTATACCCTTTAGTCATTTTAACTGTGACCTTTTCTGGGCCAGGGGTATTGTGATATACAAAGTATTTATAATTTAACATGAAGAGTGCTGGAGTAACCAAAAATGTTAGATTAATTAAAAAATTTGTGCAAACCACGTAGATAGAAGACAGTCATATGTATTTATGATTTTCTGGATGTCCTTTTGCTAGTTTTTTAATATTTGAAGCTAATAATTATTGGATATTTCAAAAATATCTTAGTTTGTGTTGACAGCTCTTTTATTACGCAGCAATTTAGTTTTTACTTTTGAACTTTCTGACTATACTGAGAAGTACTGTGACTTTTTCCTAGTCCTCATGTTTTGATGACCTTTTAGTACCTTTCCAGTTATTTATATTTCTCTTCTTCCACCCAAAAGCCATTATAAAATGGCTCTTTTGATAAATCAGCGGTTTTTATTTGTCAGTTTAAATGTGTAATACAATACTTTGAAGAAATTATTAAATGATATTGGTATTCAAGCATGTTTTTCTTACCGTTTATTGGGTTAATAAATTTATCATTGTTTGAAAATTATTTCATCAACCAAAACCAATAGTTAATGCCTGTCAGTGACCATTGCTACTTATGGTCCTAGTTAATTTTATGGTGCACATTAAGTTTAAGCCTTTTTTTTGGAATTTTAATTTGTAGAGTTGATGACAGAATAAACTTAGTTTATAATCTGTTATTTAAGCTTTTCTTGAAGTAATAAAATGGTTTTTAACTAGCTAGTATATTTTATTAATTAGCATATTACCAATCTTAAAGTAAAAATGTTATCTTTACTTTTAAAAAAGTTTTAAAGATTGAAATAATTCCAGCAATATTGCATTTCTTGCTTATATAAACAAATATTGATGTGTTTGCATATTAAATGTAATTGTGTTCTAGGTTAACTTCTCAGCCTGGTGCTACATTACCGAACGGACATAGTAGTTTATGTGAGTATTCTGTTATGAAACTGGTTAGTATTAAAATTCTTATAATGTTAGAGAAAGCATTAAAGTGGGGAAAAATAGAGTGATTTAATAGTGTGCTGAGCATACAGTTGGAAATGGCTGAATTTCAGTCATAGTAAAAAACATGTATGTAATTGTTAAACTTTGAGAAATCAGCATACCTGAAATAATTTAAATTATTTATGACAGATTGTAAAATTTATAGAAATTTTAGATTATTGAATATTAAAGCCATTTAAGAGGTTATATTCAACTTTTTGTAGGCTTTTAAAAGTAATTTTTTTTTCTTTTCTTTCTATACTCGGTACTTTGAAATGTAAATATCTCTCTCCTTGTAGCCCTTCGAAGCCATCCCCTTCGAGGGGAAAAGAAGGGAGATGGGGACCTTTCTTGTATAAACGGTGACATGGAAGTCAGAAAAAGTTGTCGTTCGAGGAAAAACAGATTTGAAAGCGTGAACCAGAGTTTGTTATTTGATCAACTAGTAAACAGGTATGAATGCTTATGTAGTAAGCAGTTTCATTTAATTATTTGGTTTTTAATATAACTATGTTTTTAAAAAATAACATAAGCAAGGACTTAGCAATAAATATAGTTCTTTTAAAACTTAACTTGAAGCTGGGTGTGGTGGGTTATACCTAATAATCTCAGCACTTTGGAAAGATGAAGTGGGAGGGTCTACTTAAGGCCAGGAGTTCAAAACCAGCCTGGGCAAAATAGTAAGATCTCATCTCTACTTTAAAAACAAAGCAAAACAAAAACAGGAAAACTCATCTTAATTTGAATTAACAGTAGTTAGCAGTGATTGTCAGTTTTTTAGTCATTTTAGTCAATTTAATATATAATTTGCGCAATAGCTAATTTTCTCATCTCTTTTAAGCTCTTCTGAATAGTTAGATAATATAAAAAGTAATTTTATCTTCACTACTATTGTCATTTGATAAGACATTTATGCTTTTGATAATTTTCAAGCAAGATTGTTTCATTATTGGCTATGCTGAATAGTAGAATAGTAGTTTTCCATAGTCAAGATTTTGAATTGAAGATGTTTTGAGACTGAGTATGTGGGATTGAGTCTCTTAGCTAGTGAGTAAGCTGACTATCCATTCAACATCTGCATCTATAAAACTTTTCTCAGATAATATGTCATCCTGCTTAGTCCTTACAACAGCCTGGAGAGGGTGGTCACTATAATCCCTATTTGATGAGAGGAAATTGTATTCTACAGTAGTAACATCAAATTTGGGCTTAAGTTATTTTTAAAACTTAAGTGTTGTTAATTACTTAGATCAGTATCTAGATGCATAGTATCTGTTATATAAGTATTTGTTTACCATATAGAAAAAAATTGCTAAGATAGCCAAGTGTGGTGGCTGGAGACTGTAGTCATAGCTGCTCAGGAGGCTGAAGTGGGAAGATCCTGAGCCCAGGAGTTCAAGACCAGTCAGGGCAACATAGTTAGAGCCCCCGCCATTTTTCTTTCTTTCTTTTTTTTTTTTTGAGATGGAGTCTCACTCTGTTGCCCAAGCTGGAGTGCAGTGACCTGATCTCTGCTCACTGCAACCTCTGCCTCCTGGGTTCAAGCCATTCTCCTGTCTCAGTCTCCTGAGTAGCTGGGACTACAGGCGCCTGCCACCATACCCAGCTAATTTTTTGTATTTTTAGTAGAGATGAGGTTTCACCATATTAGTCGGGATGGTTTCGATGTCCTGACCTCATGATCTACTTGCCTTGGCCTCCCAAAGTGCTGAGATTATAGATGTGAGCCAGAGGAAAAATAATTGCTAAGATGTTAGCATGTGTTTCTTCAATGTCATTGTTCTACTCGGATTTCTAAAAAAGCCTTTCTAGTAAACCTTATTATTTCTTAACACTATCTCCAATAAAAAGATTGAATTAGTGTTTTTTCAGTGTCGTATATCTGAGAATTATTTGTAGGGGCATTAGGAATTTTTTTAATTGGGACTTTATTAACAAAAGCCTTATATTTAAAAAGTTTTATTTTAATGAATATTTAATATGTAGAAGACTTCCTGGTTTTGTTTTTCTTACTGGGCACTGTATTCTGATGATGGATACTGTTATGAAAGAGGTATTTAATTCGGATATGGTGGGGCGCACTACTGTACTTGCAGCACTTTGGGAGGCTGAGGTGAGTGAATTGCTTGAGCCCAGGAGTTCAAGACCAGCCTGGGCAACATGATGAAAGCTGATGTCCACACAAAAATATAAAAATTAGCTGGGCATGGTAGTGCATGGCTGTAGAACCAGCTACTTGGAAGGCAGAGGTGGGAGTTTCAGTTGAGCCCAGGAGGTTGAGGCTGCAGTGAACTGTGAACAGACCACTGTACTGCAGCCTGGGTGACAGAGGGATACCCTATCTAAAAAAAAAAGAAAAACAAGTTATTTATAGTTACATATCAGATATGATTTAATTACAGTTTTGTAAAGAGCTTTTTAATGTGTATGGTGCCACCATTGTCTAAATCCTGATTTTATTATATGATTTTAGTACTGCTGAAGCTGTACTACAGGAAATGGACAACATTAACATCCGACGGAATCGTCGGTCGGGAGAAGTAGAGCGACTTCGAATGTGGACAGATACAGAATTTGTGAGTATATTAGCTGGAGCAGTCTTTGTAAATATTTTTTATTTTAATTGAGGAATTTAAAGGGAGAATGCAACAGTTGTATGTTTTTGAATTAGCACAATTATTCCTTCTTCTTCATGTCCAACTTAATTTGGGATTTTATTGCTTGCTTTCTTCTTTTCTTCATTCTCCTCTTGCTACAGCCTTCCCAAGAAAACCCTCTTCACTTTTGCTGGATGAGTCACCTTAAAGTGCAGCTCTGATTCTGTTACTTTTCTGATTTGAACCATTAATAATTTTTTATTGTGCACTGAATTTATTAAAAACACCTTGACGTTTATGATCTGGCTTCAACTTTTGTTTTCTCATACACCATTGCTTAAGTATAAACAAATCATTCTTGTTCCTGTAACTTTTACTTTTGTTAATATTCCTAGTTAGTGACCAATTCAGTCCTACCATTGTCTCAAGGTTAATTTCAAATACTGCCTCCCTTCCTTTTACCCCATAACAAAAGAAGAGTCTTCTGTTTGGATTCTAGAGACTTTGTACTTCTCTTTATGGCAATCAACTTATTTTACTTTCTTTATAATTACCTGTGATTGTCTTATTTCTGTCCTAATAGGCTGTAATTTGCTTCAGGGAGGAAGTATGTTGCTGGCATTATGAGTTTTACATTTTTGTAGATTATAAGTTTTTTCCCTTTTATTCCTTACATTTATTGAATTTGGGAAGCTCCATTTTCAGGTATCTATGGCATGCAAACAGGTGCTCAATAAATTTAATTGCGCAGATATGTACCATTGGGTTGTTTTTTTATAGTGGAGAGTAATTGTCATGTTACTATTTGACAGATTTTCTTTCTTTAAAAGGAAAACATGGATATGTATTCAAGAGTGAAAAGGCGAAGAAAGTCCCTAAGAAGAAATAGTTATGGGATACAAAATCATCATGAAGTTTCTACTGAGGGTGAAGAAGAAGGTTTGTAAATCACCTTTTGAAATAAATGCTAGAAAGTTCAGATGGAGGGAAGAAAAATAAAATGTACAAGTAATATATGTAGAATATTGCTAGGTAGGGGATTTTTGGATTTTGAGGTCTATATTAATTTGATATAATTTAAATTCAGTTGGCAATCTGAATTTCATTTCCTTCATTTGGAAAAATGTTTTTAACTGCACATTATACTTTATGTAATGTATTTATTTAGTAGCCATCCGGTATGGGATTTTCTTTGGGCTCCTTTGCTTCTTAGGTAAGGCCTTTTTTGTACTTAACCTTCGAACTGGAAGGTTACTTTGCTATCCATGGCCTCTAAATCTCTGATTATATGGATCTCAAATTTAGATATGGTCTGAGGAATAAAGAGTAAAGTTTAGAGAGACTTCTAATACCAGTGGAAGGGGACTATACTGTTCTTTTCTGAGGCCTTGATGGATTCCGAACGGAATAACCCAGACTGAACTTGTAGCGCTGGAGTTGGGAACATGACAGCAGCACATTGGCCCTGTGAGTTATAAATTGGTGACCAGACACCTGTAGGATTTAATTCTGTAGGCATTAATTATTATTATTATTATTATTTTTTGAGGTGGTATCTGGCTTTTGTTGCCTGGGCAGTCTTGGCAGTTGTGCAATCTTGGCTCACCGCAACCTCGGCCTCCCAGATTTGAGCGATTCTCCTGCCTCAGCCTTCCAAGTAGCTGGGATTACAGGTGTGCGCTACCATGCCCAGCTAATTTTTGTATTTTTAGTAGAGATGGGGTTTCATCTTGTTGGCCGGGCTTGTCTTGAACTCCTGACCTCAGGTGATCTGCCCACTTTGGCCTCCCAAAGTGCTAGTATTACAGGCGTGAGTCACTACACCTGGCCTGGCATAATCTTTATTGAAATGGATTTTCAGAAGATTTGGTATAAATATAGTAAGGGGAATCTTACTAGTTCCCATTATTTGTGTAGTTTAGATTGAGAAGACTGTTTTTTTAAAATTCTATAGTTAATATTTTTATTTGCCAGTTTTGAAGAGGTGGTACTTTATTGAGCAAATATTGTTGTTGTTACAGCTAGAACTCTAAATTGCTTCCTTTGGAGAAAATTGGTATAGGTGAGACAGATTTATAATGTAATTTTTGCCTTTTCATTAACTGAACATCTTTGTAGAGTTTCCAAAGTAGACACGCCATATTTAGAATTTTTGCCTGTAATACTGTGATTGTACAGTCATTTTTCAAAAACTAATGTTTTGGATATTTATAAAATTTATTTAGGTACAAATATATTATAATATTATTTGGATAAATACTGTATTTGTCAATTTATCTCTACAGCCTAACAACAGAAGTTTTTCAAATAATCCTTTCAGATGTCATGAGTAAAATATAAAGTCCTTTGCAGTTTTTTTTTTTTGAGACAGTTTCTTACTCTGACACTGAGGCTGAAGCGCATTGTCACAATCCCAGTTCACTGCAACCTTGATTTCCCAGGCTCAAGCGATCCTCCTACCTCAGCCTCCTGAGTAGCTAGGATCATAAGCACCCACCATAATGCCCGGCTAAATCTTTGTAATTTTTATAGAGATAGGGTCTCAATATGTCATCCAGGCTGGTCTCAATCTCCTGAGCTCAAATAGTCTTCCTGCCTCAGCCTACGTGCTGGGATTATAGGCGTAAGCCACCATGTCCAGCCCTTTGCAGTTTTAGTCTTCTACTTCCCTGAGTATCTTGCCAGCTTTATATTTTTTCTATGCTTTAATATGATTGTATTATATTGACAATTCTTGTGGCTAAAAAGTTACATATTGCATTTGGGGGTCCATATGCTTATTAATATTCATGAGTTTGTTTTTTTTTTTGAGATGGAGTTTCACTCTTGTTACCCAGGCCGGAGTGCAATGGCGTGATCTCGGCTCACCGCAACCTCCGCCTCCTGGGTTCAGGCAATTCTCCTGCCTCAGCCTCCTGAGTAGCTGGGATTACAGGCACACGCCACCATGTCCAGCTAATTTTTTGTATTTTTAGTAGAGACGGGGTTTCATCATGTTGACCGGGATGGTCTTGATCTCTTGACCTCGTGATCCACCCACCTTGGCCTCCCAAAGTGCTGGGATTACAGGTGTGAGCCACCGCGCCCGGCTGAGTTTTTTTTTTTTTTTTAATAGAAGCTGGGCACATGGCTAACCCTTGTAATCCCAGCACTTTGGGAGGCTGAGGGGGATGGATCACTTGAGATCAGGAGTTTGAGACCACCCTGGCCAACATAGTGAAACCTTGTCTCTACCAAAAATACAAAAATTCTCTAGGCATTGTGCACGCCTGTAACCTCAGCTACTCAGGAGACTGAGATATGAGAATTGCTTGAAACTGGGAGGCAGAGGTTGCAGTGAGCCACGATTATGCCACTGCACTTCAGCCTGGGCAACAGAGAGAGACTCTGTCTCAAAAAAAAAAAAAAAAGAAGAGATGGAGTCTTGCTATGTTGCCCCAAGCTGGACTCAAACTCCTGGGCTCATCCTTCTGCCTTAGCTTCCTGAGTAGTTGGACTATAGGTGCGTGCCTCTGCATTCAGCTATACTTTTATTTTAACTGTACTTAGATGTTATATTGTAGCTATAGCCAAATTATTATTATTATTTTTTGAGACAGAGTCTTGCTCTGTTGCCCAGGCTGGAGTGCAGTGGTGCCATCTTGGCTCACTGCAGCCTCTGCCTCCTGGGTTCAAGTGATTCTCCTGCCTCAGCCTTCTGTGTAGCTGGGATTACAGGCATGCACCACCACGCCCAGCTAATTTTTTTATGTTTTTAGTAGAGACGAGGTTTCACCATGTTGGCCAGGCTAATCTCAAACGTCTGACTTCGTGATCCATCCTCCTCAGCCTCTCAAAGTGCTGGGATTACAGGCATGTAATCACATTAATTTATTTAGCAGATAATTATGTTGATCATTGGCAGGGAAAGCATTTTCTTTTACATCCATATAATATGTTGGCACTTAAACGTCACCTGTGCAGAAACAGTAATGGATAAAGTGTAAATATTCACTCTAGAGTAGACTAATCCTTTTGGATTAAAACAGTGCTTTTTTCTTTTCTTTTTTGTGTGTGGGAAACTAGAATCTCAAGAGGAGGATGGAGATATAGAAGTTGAAGAGGCAGAAGGAGAAGAAAATGATAGACCGTATAATTTGAGACAGAGAAAAACAGTGGATCGATACCAAGCACCTCCAATAGGTAGGCAAGTCTAAATAACTTTTTTCTTTTTGGTAATTGAATAACTTACTCTGCCCCAGTGTAAGTTGAGTAACTTAAACTGCTTTTAAAAATATTAATATTGCCAAATTTAAAAGAAGGAAATCTCTTATGGGTTTTATATAGTGTATCTTTTACTACGTATACTTCTGTGCACACACATGCAACAAAGTCATAGTACATGGTAGCAGCATTGATTTACATACAACATGTTCATTTTATTTATAGAAGCTTGTATTTAATAAATACTACTCATGCTTTTGTATTATGCTATATAGTTTACTGAGCACTTCAATTTACAGCAGTTCTTTAGGGAAGGTATCTTTTTTTATCTGAGACAGAATCTTGCTCTGTCACCCAGGTTGAAGTGTAGTGGCATGGTCTCAGTTCATTGCAACCTCCGCCTCCTGGGTTCAAGCAATTCTCCTGCCTTAGCCTCCTGAGTAGCTGGGATTACAGGCGCCCGCCACCATACCCGGCTGATTTTTGTATTTTTTCAATAAAGACAGGGTTTCGCCATGTTGGCCAGGGTGGTATTCGCAGCCTCCCAAAGTGCTGGGATTACAGGTATGAGCCACCACGCCCGCCTAGGGAAATATCTTTATGGTCCAAGAGGTTAAGTGACTTACTCAAGGTCACAAAAATGGTATATGGCTGCAGCTTGGCCAATAACTTGGTTTCTTTCTTTCTTTTTTGCTGGGAGAAGGAAAAAGTTAAAAGTTTATCTTTTAGAGAAGGGTTCTCACTATGTTGCTCATGGTGCAGTGTAGTGGTTATTTAGAAGCACAGATATAACACACTATAGCCTCTACTTCTGAGCTCAAGCTTTCCCTCCTACCTCAACCACTTATGTAGCTAGAACTACAGGTGTGCAGCACCATGCCTAGCTAATTAGTTTTTTGTTTTTTTGTAGAGACAGGGTCTTGCTATGTTGCCCAGGCTGGTCTTCAGCTCCTGGCCTCAAGGAATCCTCCTGTCTTGGCCTCCCAAAGCACTGTGATAGCTTGAACCCAGCTGTGTATTTCTTTTTATTGCTGAGTATCGTTCTGTGGTGTGGATATATCACAATTTGTTTATCCATTCATTTGTTAATTGACATTATGATCCTTTCTAGTTTTTGGCTATTAGAAATAAAGTTGTGATGAACATTCATTTACAAGTCTTTGTGTGGACATATGTTTTTATATTTCTAACAAATACCAAGGAGTAGAAAGGCTGGGGTTTATGATGAGATATAAGAAATTACCAAATTCTTTTTTAAAGTGGTTACACCATTTTCACTAAGAGTGTGTGTGAGAGCTGTGGTTGCTTTATATTCTTGCCAACACTTGGTATACTCAGACTATTTAATTAATTGTAACAGTTACTTATTGTAGTTTTAGTTAACATTTCCCTAATGGTGCTGGAGTGTCTTTTCATTTTTTTTTTTTTTTTTTTTGACAGTGGTAAATCTTTTGTAAAATGTCTGTTGAGATCTCTTGCCATTTTTTCAATTGGGTTTGTTTTCTTGTTATTGAGTTTTGAGAATCCTTATATGTTCTGGATATTAGACCTTTAACAGATATGTAATTTGCAATTGTTTTTTTTTTTTTTTTTTTTGTGACGGAGTTTCACTCTTGTTACCCAGGCTGGAGTGCAATGGTGCGATCTCGGCTCACTGCAACCTCCCCCTCCTGGGTTCAGGCAATTCTCCTGCCTCAGCCTCCTGAGTAGCTGGGATTACAGGCACGTGCCACCATGCACAGCTAATTTTTTGTATTTTTAGTAGAGACGGGGTTTCACCATGTTGACCAGGATGGTCTCAATCTCTTGACCTCGTGATCCACCCGCCTCGGCCTGTCAAAGTGCTGGGATTACAGGCTTGAGCCACCACGCCCGGCTGCAAATATTTTTAAGACAAGACAGTCTGTGGCTTGTCTTTTTTATTGTCTCAATAGTAGCTTTTGAAGAACACAAGTTTATAATTTTATTTATTCTTTGAGATGGAGTCTCACTCTATTGCACATGCTGATATGCAGTGGTGCAATCATGGCTCACTGCAACCTCTGCCTCCTGAGTTCAAGCTCTTCTCCTGCCTCAGCCTCCTAAGTAGCTAGGACTACAGGCATGTGCCACCACATGCGTCTAATTTTTGTATTTTTATTAGAGACAGGATTTCACCATGTTGGCAGACTGGTCTCAAACTCTTGACCTTAGGTGATCCACCTGTGTAGGCCTCCCAAAGTGCTGGGATTACACTCTCCTGCTACTCCTGGGCTCAAAGCAGTCCTTTCTGACTTGGCCTTCTAAAGTCCTGGGATTACAGGTGTGAGCCACTGTTCCCAGCCTATACGTTTTTTTTTTTAATACAATTTTTTTTTAGTGGATTTGTAATTTTAATGAACTCCAATTTATACTTTGTCCTTTTTTTTTTGAGATAGGGTCACCCAGGCTGGAGTGCAGTGGTATGAATATGGCTCACTGCAGCCTTCTCCTGCTTCAGCTTGCCGAGGTGCATGTCACCATACCTGGCTAATTAAAAAAAATTTTTTTTTGTAGAATTGGGTTTTTTTTTCTTTTTTTTTGTTTTGTCTTTTCTTTTTCTTTCTTTCTTTCTTCTTCTTTTTTTTTTTTTTTTTTTTGGTGATGAAGTCTTGCTCTGTCACCCAGGCTGGAGTACAGTGGTGTGATTTTGGCTCATTGCAACCTCTGCCTCCTAGAATCAAGCGATTGTCCTGCCTTAGCCTCCTGAGAAGCTGAGATTATAGGTGCATGCTACTGTGCCTGGCTAATTTTTGTATATATATATTTTTAGTAGAGACATGGTTTCACCATGTTGGTCAGGCTGGTCTTGAACCCAAGTGATCTACCCCCATGTTGAACTAGAGTTGGGTTCTTACCATGTTTCCCAGGCTGATTTTGAACTCCTGGGCTCAAAGCAGTCCTCTCTGACTTGGTCTTCCAAAGTCCTGGGATTAGAGGTGTCAGCCACTGTTGCCAGACTATAAATATTTTTTTAATAGATTGTGCTACATTTTTTTTTAATGGATCATGTATCTGAGAAATCTTTGTCTAACTCATAGTCACAAAGATTAAGCTAACATCTGTTTAGAATATTTATTTGCAACTTCAGAGTATTGCCACAAAATTTTTATTTTTGTTTTGCTTCTAGACAGCATTGTACTTGAAGACACAGGAATAGGTCTTATTTAAAAAGTTAACAGAAGTCATTTCTACTCTTTAATACATTATCAATTTATTAGTTATTGCTCTATTATTTTTTGCTTCCCTTTTAGTACCTGCTCATCAAAAAAAGAGAGAAAACACACTGTTTGATATTCATAGATCTCCAGCAAGAAGAAGCCATATTAGGTAAGTTTTGTTTGCTTTTGAAAGGAGGAAATATATGCATTCAATGAGAGACTAATTGTATCTTTCTTTTTTAAATTAGTGACTAATAGTTATCATCCTACATGTGACTGTTGTCTTCCTGATTCACAGTTTGCTTGGAATATTTGTTGTTTTAACAGTTATGTTCTCTAAAGCTACACAGCTCTTTGGTCTCTTAGCAGAGTTGAATCTAAGTGACCTATATTTCTTTCATTTGAAGCATTAATTTGAGTTAATCTTTGATATTTTTTTCTCCCTAATTATCCTTTCTTTGACATTTAGAAGAAAGTAGAAACAAAGGATGGTTTCTACTTTTAAAAGTTTATTTTTTATTTTTGAGACAGGGTCTTGCTCTGTCACCTAGGCTGGAGTGCAGTGGCATGATCTTGGCTCATTGCAGCCTCAGTCTCCTGGACTTAAGCAGTCCTCCCATCTCAGCCTCCCGAGTAGCTGAGACTACAGGCACACGCCACTATGCCCAGCTAATTTTTGCACTGTTTGTAGAGATGAGGTTTTGCCATGTTGCTCAGACTGCTCTTGAACTTTTGGGCTCAAGTGTTTCCAAAGTGCTAGGATTTATAGGGGTGAGCCACTGTGCCCAGCCAAGCTTTTAATTTTTACAAAGTTCAAGTTACCTATTTTTTATTTTTTTGCTCATGCTTTTATTGTTATATCTAAGAATCCATTGCCAACTCAGAGGTCATGAAGATTTGTTCCTGTGGTTTCCTCTAATAGTTATATCTGTTATGTTTAGGTCTTTGATTTATTTAGTTAATTTTTCTATATGGTTTGAGTTAGTTTTTTTTTTTTTTTTTTGAGATGGAATTCTGCTCTTGTTACCCGGGCTGGAGTGCAATGGTGCAATCTCGGCTCACGGCAACCTCTGCCTCCTGGGTTCAGGCAATTCTCCTGCCTCAGCCTTCTGAGTAGCTGGGATTACAGGCACGCGCCACCACACCCAGCTAATTTTTTTGTATTTTTAGTAGAGACGGGGTTTCACCATGTTGACCGGGATGGTCTTGATCTCTTGACCTCGTGATCCACCCGCCTCGGCCTCCCTGCTTTGAGTTAATTTTGTATATTTTTGTGTATATATATACTCTTTGGCTTTTATTTATTTATATATATATATATATATATTTTTTTTTTGTATTTTTGTATTCTAATTTTTGTATTTTTTTTTTTTTTTAATGTAGAGACAAGGTTTTGCTGTGTTGCCCAGGCTGGTCTCAAACTCCTGGGCTCAAGTGATCCACCCACCTCAGCCTCCCAAAGTGCTGGAATTAGAGGCATGAGCCACCAACTCCTTGGCTTTTAATTCTTTTTTTTTTCAACCTCCTCCTGCTGGGTTGAAGCAATTCTCCTGCCTCAGCCTTCTGAATAGCTGGGATTACAGTCATGCACCACCATGTCTGGCTGGTTTTTGTGTTTTTAGTAGAGATGGGATTTCACCATGTTGGCCAGTCTGGTCTCAAACTCCTGACCTCAAGTGATCTGCCTGCCTCAGCCTCCCAAAGTGCTGGGATTATAGGCATGAGCCACCATGCCTGGCCCCAACTAAAATTTTGGCTTTTCAGTTCTTTACAGGGAAATGATGTATACCACTCTTTTTGTTGTATTACTATTTGTAGCACACCTAAAAATGTTACAGATCTAATACTACATTGTTGGAATTATTAATTCGTATGATTTAATGGCTTTTGCTGAAGCTGCTAGAAGAAATATTAGCAAGTACAGTCGTCCCTCTTTAGCCATGGGTTCCGCTTGTGTGAATGCCACCAACGAGACCTCAAAAATATTTGAGAAAGAATGCCAACAATACAACAACAAAAAATACAGCAAGATGACTACTTACATAGCACATGTGTTTTTTTAGGTATTACATTTGATTTAGAGATGATTTAAAATATATGGGAGGTAACTCAACATTAAGTCTTTGATAAATTTAAAAAAAAAAGTGTATGGGAGTATGTGTGTAGGCCATATGCAAACACTATACCATTTTTATATAAGGGACTTAAGCATACTCAGATTTTGATATCACAAGGGTCCTGGGACCATTTTCCTATATATACTGAGGGATGACTATATGTTTATAGGTATTGCTATATTAACTTTGTAATTGATTTACCATTTTTGGTTCTCTTTTTTTTTTTTTCTTATGCATTCAGTTTACCAACTGAAGTCATTTTCTTAGACTAATACAACTTTCCTCCCACCAACTTCCTTCTGTGCTGTTATTGGCAAATTTATTACATTTCTATATATTTTAGGCCCAATACACACATAAACTTGGGAACTTTCCTGATGGGGAGAAAGAAGTAGAGGAGAGGATAAGTATCAAAATTCCAAAGAATAAGTAGATAATTTTTGCAACAATCTTCCTGAAGAGTTGGGAAGCATCAAAAATTGATGCAGGGCCTCCCCAAGCCACTGCCATGGCCACCTACAAACTGGTGCTGATCTGGCCTGGTAAGAGCGCCTGGAACCTGGAGAACCACTTCAGCATCTGGTACGATGCCAACCTGAGCTCAGCAGCCCATGAGGAGGCAAAGTGTGGCAGGCAGGTGCTGCGAGATCCTGGCTGTGAGTTTGATATCTGCTTCACCTCGGTGCAGAAGAGAGCAATCTGGATCCTCTGGACAGTGCTAGATGCCATTGATCAGATGTGGCTGCCTGTAGTGAGGACTTGGTGCCTCAATGAGTGGAACTATGGGTCTGACCTGTCTCAATAAAGCCGAAACTGCTGCAAAGCATGGTGAGACCCAGGTGAAGATCTGGAGGTGCTCCTATGATGTCCCACCACCTCTAATGGAGCCCAGCCATCCTTTCTACAGCGACATTAGTAAGGATCGCAGGTATGCAGACCTCACAGAGAATCAGCTACCCTCCAGTGAGAGTCTGAAGGACACTATTACCAGAGCTCTGTCCTTTTGGAATGAAGAAATAGTCCCCCAGGTCAAGGATAGGGAATGGGTACTGATTGCAGCCCAGGGCAACAGCCTATGGGGCATTGTCAGTCATCTGGAGGGTCTTTCTGAAGAGTCTATCATGGAGCTGAACCTGCCGACTGGTATTCCCATTGGCTATGAATTGGACAAGAACTTGAAGCCCATAAGGTGCTTATAGTTCCTGGGGGATGAAGAGACCATGCGTAAAGCCATGGAAGCTGTGGCTGCCCAGGGCGAGGCCAAGAAGTGAAGGCCAACAGGCAGGCTACTGTCCCCAGGAACACCCTCCCTGCCCGTTGTGTCCATCTTCCCTTCTCTCCTGCACATGTCACACTGACCACATTTGTAGACATCTTGAGTTGTAGCTGCAGATGGGGACCAGTGGCTCCCATTTTCATTTTAGCCATTTTGTCTCCTGTACCCACTCTCTTCATATAATTTAATCAGAATAGCACTTCTAGGGCACTGGGTTCTCAGTCCAAGCTGTGGAAAAGCTCTCCTTGTCCAAGAGAGTTTAAAGGTAGTGACTTGGGTTTTCATGAGTGCTTTGTTTACTAAGGACTTGTGGGGAGGAACCATGCTAAGCCTTGACCAATGAGGAGAAACAGGAGAGCCTGCCTGCCCTCAGGAGCCAGTACTGTGTTCTTTGTAGTCAGGTCACTGTTGAGGAGTTCTAGTCATTCCAGTGGAAGATGAATGTAACCTGGATTGTGATGCAACAACTGTTTCCTCCCTGACCCCAGAGGAACTAGAAGGTTGGGATCAATCCTGAATTTAGTGTATGTGTTACATTTACTTTTTTTTTTTTTTTAAATGTGGCATATATAAATAATACAAAACAATAACCCTCTGGGGTTTCTCATGGTAGCTGAAATAGTCCCACATGTGGTCGTCAGAAAATAAGCCACTCCTCATACCAATATGGGATAAGCTTCTTGACCTCTGAGGGGTAGGAGTGCTTCCTGCTGTGTGTTTTAGAATCCTTCCCTTGCCTTGTTTCGTGGCAGTGAAATGCCTCTTGGTCCCGTCCAAGTGTGTCTTTCACTGATGATTTCTGAATCATGTTCTAGTTTCTTGGCCCTGCCACATGGGTCCAGTCTTCATTTGAACATAATTGTACTAAATCCTTTTTCCAGATCGGTATAATACAGGAGTGATGTGCAATTAAAAAAAAAATTGATGCAGGGCCAAGCATGGTGGTGGTTCATGCCTATAGTCTTAGCATTTTGGGAGGCTGAGGCCAGAGGATTGTGGGAGCCCAGGAGCACATGCCTGCAGTTAGCTATGATCACGCTACTGCGCTCCAGCCCAGGTGACACAGTGAGACCCTCTATCTAAAAACAAAAATGAAAAGAGAAACAATTCCCTCTTCCCCTACAAAAAAATGAGTGCAGAAGGTAATACAAGGATTCTGGTTAGCGGAGAAGGAGTAGAGGTGGATTAAGGATCTCAAGAAGAAGTTGAAAAAATCTGGGTTGCTAATGAGACATGTGGGCATTGGAGGGGAGTACAGATGCAGTGAATCTGATCATTTGGGACATCTTTGAAGGCTATTTGTGCTTGTAGTAAATTACTGACAATGATTTCAGCTTGTCTGGTTGTGTGGATTTTCATTAGTGTGTTCAGCATTTTTATCACTTGGATTGGTGCAGGGTTGGAATTTAGCAAGTATAATGGAAGAAAAAGGAGACAGAGTCAGGTAAGAAGGTTAAAAACTGAAGTAATAGCTTTTACTGTGAGGCTTGACAGAAAATGAAGCCACGAAAGGAGTTGACTGTGAGTCAATGGGTGCTCAGGCATAGTAGGCCTTGATGAGTTGAAAGTTGGTATTTTAGGAGGTTGTGTTCAAAGATTAGGCCATTAAATTTTAAAATTGCAGAGATGGAGATAAGTTCATGCAATAACAAGATCTGATGTAAGATTATGGCAATTTTTTTTTTTTTTTTTTTTAAGTAAAGCAGAGCTGAGGTGGTTAAATGGCTAGGCAAGTGGTAAGTGAAACCTAGGTTGGGATGGTGAAAAAGATGACATAAGGGATATTTACAGGCAGTGATTATGTGCTGGGCAAAAAGGGATTTTTGAGTTTTTTTTTTGTGTGTAAATTACTTGTTAGTGGAACTGCTAACTGAATATGCAATTTAAAAGAAGTGGTTGAAGCATTTGATTTGGATATGATGAACTCAGTTTGAACACTTTGTAACCACACAGTTTGGTGGTGGTTTTATTATAGTATTTTTTAGGTATCTTAGAGATATCATGAGTTATACTAATAATCTGACATTTATTAAGTATTATTTCTCCTTTGTGATGACTTTAGTTTGGCATATTACCTAATCTTTCCATAATAGTTCTGGTTATAAACTATTTTTTTCTTCAAAATATTTAATGTATTTTATAAGAAGTTCAAACAGGATATCTTTTTTTTTTTTCTTTTATTTTTGAGACGGAGTTTCTCTCTTGTTACCCAGGCAGGAGTGTAATGGCGCGATCTCGGCTCACTGCAACCTCCGCCTCCTGGGTTCAGGCAATTCTCCTGCCTCAGCTTCCTGAGTAGCTGGGATTACAGGCACGCGCCACCATGCCCAACTAATTTTTTGTATTTTTAGTAGAGACAGGGTTTCACCATGTTGACCAGGATGGTCTTGATCTCTTGACCTCGTGATCCACCTGCCTTGGCCTCCCAAAGTGCTGGGATTACAGGCTTGAGCCACTGCACCCGGCCCCAGGATATCTTAAGTGGAAAGTGAAAGCCCTTGTCCTCTGTAACCCAGTGTATTATTTTTCCTTTGTTCTTTAAATATCTAGACTGTGACCATTTGGGAAAGATAGAATTAAAAAAAAAAGACACACTTTTTTTTTTCTGAGATTCTAATATGATTTATCAAACAATGACAGATATTCGCTAAATTTGGATGTAATTTAAATTGGTTGCTGTCCCTGCGTGGTGGCTCAAGTCTGTGATCCCAGCACTTTGGGAGGCCGAGGTGGGTAGATTGCTTGAGCTCAGGAGTTTGAGACCACCTTGGGCAACATGGTAAAACTCCGTCTTTACAAAAAGTACGAAAATCAGCCAGATGTGGTTGCATGTGCCTATAGTCCCAGCTATTTGGGAGTTTGAGGTGGGAGGATTGCTTGAGCCCCAGAGGTTAAGGCTGTAGTAAACCCTGAGCTTGCTGCTGCACTCCAGCCTGGGTGACAGTAAGACCCTGTCTCAAAAAAAAAAAAAAAAAAAAAAAAAAAAAAAATTAGTTGGTTACTGACTCCCTTCTTGAATTACTCTTTTCAAAAAATTTTAGGTTTCCTATTCTTCTTTTTTTTTTCTTTTCTGTTTTTTTTCAAAATGGAGTCTTGGCTCTGTCACCTAGGCTGGAGTGCAGTGGCATGATCTCAGCTCACTGCAAACTCTGCCTCCTAGGTTCAAGGAATTCTTCTGTCTTAACCTCTCGAGTCGCTGGGATTATAGGTGCCCGCCACTGCACCCAGCTAATTTTTGTATTTTTAGTAGAGACGGGGTTTTGCCATGTTGGCCAGATTGGTCTCCAACTCCTGACCTTGTGATCTGCCTGCCTTGACCTCCCAAAGTGCTGGGATTACAGGGGTGAGCTACCATGCCAGCCTTTTATTTTCTCTTAAGAACTTGCTACCTTTATACTTCATTGATGTAAACTGTATGAGAGGAATAATCTTAATAAATATTTGCTGATTGAATTTTCTACTAATTGTAGATATGATTACAGTGTGTTTTAAAAAGTTGTTTGCTATTATAATGGTTTTAAGGATTTCACTGTTTTTCAATAGGAGAAAGAAGCATGCCATTCATAGTAGTGACACAACTTCTTCTGATGAGGAACGCTTTGAAAGAAGGAAATCAAAGAGCATGGCAAGAGCAAGAAATAGGTTAGTAAAATTTTTAGTGTTATCTTCATGGTAGAAAAAGGAAAAATAATGTTTTTTTTTTTTAGTGAGTTTCTTATTGTATAGGCACTTTGATAACATTGATATTCAACACATATTTTAGACTAGATTAAGACATTGACTTGGTTTCTATTTAGTTTCTCTTACAGTAGAAATCTAACCTTGGGAAATTTCCCCATAATTACTTAGTCTGAAAATACTTATGATAAAATAATTTGTGGAGAGGGAAAGTAAGGAGAACTAAGGGAAACAGAGAGGCCAACTTATATGACAGTATCTGTCTTTTCCTCTGTACCTCCTCTCTTATCTAAATCCAGTCAATGAGGTTGATTTTTGGTGCTTATAATGATTACAGTATTATAGCAATCAGAGTAAGGCATGGTTTCTAATAGAATTATCTCTGGATACTTTGTATTTTTATTGGAAAAATTTATTTTGTTTTTGTTGTTGGTTGGACAAGTGCCTCTAGTGAAGCCTAACTAGGGTAACTCACTGATTACTGTTTGGCTCACTAAAACCTCAAAGAATTTTCAGTGGAGGAGTAAATAATTAAAGCGTCATTATTATTTATTATAGAAATACCAAGTTTTCAATTAGCCGGTCTTGGAAACAAGTTTGGTTTGGTGTAGATTGTATACTAAAAAAGAATTTCTCATGTGAATGATGGAAAGAAAATGAAGAGAAAAATCCAAGTTTAAATAAAAGAATTTAATGCTTATTTAATCTGAACTATTCTGATAATCCACTTTGATAATATATTTTTATAAATTAGGATTCAGAAACTTCAATGAAGTTCATTCATTATAAATGCTAGAATTTTTGAGGCCCTTAATGTCATTGTTTGGTGTTTACCCAAGGTTAAAAGAGGAAGTCAACTATATTCAGGGAAATTAAATAATGTATTATATTAAATAATGTGTTAAATAATGTAGTATAGGATTTTAGATAGCTAGAGATCTCTTAAGGTAGTTATACAAAAGATAAAGCTTAGCGTTCAAGATGTGATCTCTAGTTTCTTTGAACAAAAGGGTAAGACGGTTTTTTCAATTATGTAACTGAGTAGACATCTTCATGTACTATCTGAGGATAAATTTAAATATTATAATAAAGGTTGGACTGATGGCTCACGCTTGTAATCCCAGCATTTTGGGAGGCTGAGCCTAGGACTTTGGGACCAGCCTGGGCAACATAGTGAGACTTTGTCTGTATAAAAAATCAGCCGGGTATAGTGGTGCTTGCCTGTAGTTCCAGCTATTTGGAAGGCTGAGGTGGGAGGATAACTTGAGCCCAGGAGGTTGAGGCTGTAGTGAGCTGTGACTGTACCACTGGACTTCATCCTGGGCAACAGTGAGACCTTGTCTTAATTAATAAATCAATCAACAGCTTGATTTTATTTTAATCCCATAGATTATAGTACTTATAGGTTTATTTTTATTTTATAGTTGTATAACATGGGATATCAGGTATGTAAGACATTTTTCTAAAATGGAATAGACTGGGCTCTTTGAACAAATAGATTAATGATCTTGTTTGCTTTATCTAGTGAGTAACTTAAATTTTGGCCATTGACAAGAATTTAAGAAAAGTAGAGCAAAAATATGAAATCCTTTGATGTTATTTTCTGGGTTATGAGAAAAAAGAGAAAGATAAAGACACATCAAAGATGTAAATTTATTTTGACATTAAAAATGTGAAACTTGTAATGCAATTTTACTTGGACTTTTATAAATTTCAGATGTTTGCCTATGAACTTCAGAGCAGAGGACTTAGCTAGTGGTATTCTCCGAGAACGAGTGAAAGTGGGTGCAAGCTTGGCTGATGTTGATCCAATGAACATTGATAAATCAGTAAGTTTGTAAATGTTTTTCTAGAAGATTTAATTTTTTAAGCGTTTTTCTTGTTTCTAAAGCAGCGATATGACCATTATTAATGTTTCGACATACGTGCTTTGCCTAAAAACCCTAGTCACATGTGGTGCTTAGGTATTTTCATTTCAGTGTTACTGGAATATATAACAGGGAAGAAATGAGGCTGAGAAGGTTATGAGGGGCAAGGCTTCATAAACCATAATGAGCAATGGGCTGTTGTTGAAATTGCCTAGTTTCATGATTTTGTATTTTGGGGAGATCACTCTGGTTATGATACAGTTAATGAATTTGGGGGAAGCAAGGCTGGCATTAGGGAGATTGGATGTTACTGTGGTCTAGTAATCTGGAGTAGTGGTCATAGTAGAAAGTAGGATAATGGGCTAGGCGCAGTGGCTCACGCCTGTAATCCCAGTACTTTGGGAGGCTAAAGTGGGTGGATCGCCTGAGGTCAGGAGTTTGAGACCAGCCTGGCCAACATGGTGAAATCCTGTCTCTACTAAAAATACAAAAATTAGTTGGGCATGGTGGTCAGTGCCTGTGATCCAGCTACTCTGAAGGCTGAGGCAAGAGAATCGCTTGAACTCGGGAAGCGGAGATTGCAGTGAGCTGAGATTCTGCCGCTGCCCTCCAGCCTGGGAGACAAAGTGAGACTTCATCTCAAAAAAGAAAGAAAGAAAGTAGGATAATGATGAGAAGTAACTGGGTATGAAAGAATTGAGGATCGAATTCAGAAATGACAGAATTTGGTGAATTAATTGCTTTTTGGGAATGAGGGAAAGGTACAACTTGAGAGTATTACCCAGGTTTCTAGCTTAAGCAACTAGGTAGATAATGGATGGACTGGATGGGAAATGGCTCAATTCTCTGAGTAGGGAACATAAGAAGAGGAATAAATATTTGAGTCAGGGATATGATTTAATTAGTTATATTTAACTAATATGTGTTTAGGTATCTGAGGTATACCACAAGTGGAAGCACCTTGTAGATAATTGGTTATTTAGGTTTGGCATTAAGGAGAAATGTCTGAACTGGAAATTCAGATACAGGTCATCAATATAAAGAGCTGTGGGGGCACTTTGGAAAATGGCTGATCGATCACACCTGAGGAAGGTATGTAGCATGAAAGCAGACATAAGACTTAGGGGACATGGTAGATTCTTTCTCATTGTTAGTAGTATCTTATTTTGGAGGGTATTTTAGAATAAGGTTATTTCATAACCAAGAATTTATTTGATATATTTTTTCTTTGTTCCCATAAATCTCTCTATACAACATAAGTGACTTTCATATGAGATATTTAAAATAAGTTATCAAATAGAATTGCATATTTATTGGAAGATGAAATTTTAACTCCTCTCTGAAGTCATAGAGGAAAATGCCTGTCTTACTTTATTAATGAGGCCCTACGGAAATACTAGAGTATTGAATATGACCAGAATCCCATTTCTAATCGTACATCTTCTCAGAAGACCTTACCTAATGGTCTTTGCTTATTTGGTTTACTAGCACTTTACTCTTGAATCTAGTTAGCTTTATTTCTTTTTTGTCTTTAAAAAAAAAACTTTATTTTTGTTTCATGTATTTTCATCCATCCATTTATAGGTGAATCTAGTTAATTTTAGATGTATCTTCCAGTCAAGTAGAGTAACTACTACTTTTTTTTTTTTTTTTAGATGGAGTTTTGCTCTTGTTTCCCAGGCTGGAGTGCAATGGTGTGATCTTGGCTCACTGCAACCTCCGGCTCCCGGGTTCAAGTGATTCTCCTGTCTCAGACTCCCAAGTAGCTGGGATTACAGGCATGCGCCACCATGCCCAGCTAATTTTGTATTTTTAGTAGAGATGGGGTTTCTCCATGTTGGTCAGGCAGGTCTTGAACTCCTGACCTCAGGTGATCTGCCTGCCTCCGCCTCCCAAAGTGCTGGGATTACAGACATGAGCCACTATACCTGGCGAGTTATTTCGTTAAAGTCTGATACACTTTTTTTTCTTACAAAGCCTTCTAGCTATTATGGGTGGGAAGAACAGTCTTTGCTGCTGCTTGTGATAGATCAGTGTTTCTAAAATCATTTTTTCATCATTGTCTCATAAAGAAAAAAAATCAAATTTCTCTCTGACTAGAGAAATTAAATATTAAAGAATAAGATTTTGTCAGGTAAGCTTGACCTTGGGAGGGCTGCAAACTATTGTAAATAGCTAAGATTTTTTTTTCTTGCCCTTAGCCCTGAACCAATTTTTGCCCCTGTGAGGATGATATTGCCCCTTCTGAGAATACATGTACAAACATGTACAAAATAATTATATATTTTTAAAGCCATTAAAACTTTTTTTATTTGAGATAGAGTTTCAGTCTTGTTGCCCAGTCTGGAGTACAATGGCATGATATTGCTCACTGCAACCTCTGCCTCCTGCCTTCAAGAGATTCTCCTGGCTCAGCCTTCCAAGTAGCTAGGATTACAGGCGTACACCACCATGCCTGGTTAATTTTTCTATTTTTAGTAGAGATGGGTTTCACCATGTTGGTCAGGCTGATTTCAAACTCCTGACCTCAGGTGATCCACCAGCCTTGGCCTCCCAAAGTGTTGGGATCACAGTCATGAGCCACTGCACCCGGCCCATTAAAACTTGTAGCGTGTTAATATAATATAACAATCTCCAATAGATACCTATTAAAGTTTTAGGTTGGGCATTAATCCTGGTTCCGAGTTACTCATTAAATAATGGTAGCTTAATTTGCCTGAATGGAAATGTAAACTTGGGTTTTATTGTTGGCCTTATTTTTCTATGCTTATTTGTAGTTATGTTTAAAAGCTTCTGCTGAAGCCATATATTTCTGAATTATAAGACTCTTGTATAAATTTAAAAAATTATATGAAACATGTAAAATGGTTTTATATCAAACCTTTCCCCTTCTTTCCAAGGTACGGTTTGATAGCATAGGTGGATTGAGCCATCATATTCATGCACTAAAGGAAATGGTAGTATTCCCACTTTTATATCCAGAAATTTTTGAAAAGTTTAAAATTCAGCCTCCAAGGTAAGCAGTGTCATAGATGTTTATGATTGTTATTATCTTTACTTTCTCAAGTGTTATTTAATTGAGTAAATGACTGTAAATATAAATATTGGATATATATTTATTTGATATGTCCTAGCAATGACAGTTAGAAATAAAATGTTATTGTTTAGGGTCCAGAGGCCATGGAATAAAGTGTGCTCTTGAAGTTTACATCTCAGGATTTAAGTCAGGCACTCGAGAAGATTCTTTCTGTGAGCCCTAAATACACAACCAGATTGTCCGTATGGATTTTCCTGAATTTGGCTCCCAGTACATCGAGTTTGATACTATATATTATTTACTCTTGGAAGCACAGTTTTATTGATGTGTTTCTTTGACTTGATGATGGAGTATTTTTAAAATAGGGTGAGCTTGATAATTTATTTTTAGGAACAGATTGTGTCTGATAATGAGATGGATAGCTGGTGAACTATTGGAAAAGGCTGAGAAAATTATGTTAAAGGAGATTGGGCAGAACAGAATATTCTGGCTGGGTACGGTGGCTCACACCTGTAATTCCAGCACTTTGGGGTGCTGAAGTGGGTGGATCACCTGAGGTCAAGAGTTCGAGACCAGCCTGACCAACATGGTGAAATCTCATTTTTACTGAAGATACAAAAATTAGCTGGGTGTGGTGGCACGCGCCTGTAATCCCAGCTACTTGGGAGGCTGAGGTATGAGAATCACTTGAACCCAGGAGACAGAGGTTATAGTGAGCTGAGATCGAGCCACTCTACTCTAGCCTGGGTGACAGAGTGAGACTCCATCTGAAAATAAAAAAAGAATAATAGAATATTCTGAAGATATACAGATAGGCTGTTAGATTTAAACTGACTGTTTTCTTTAAGGAGGCACTTTTCAGATTTGGTTCTAATTTATTTTTCATGTTTTTAAGGATATGGAAAATCTTATTAAAGAGTCATTTTAAATCTATCTTTATACATTCCTTTTGAGTATTTCTACATTATTCTAAAGATGTGAAATTTCTGGGTCATAGGGAAACACATTTAAAATTTCTGTATATCTTGCCAAATTACTCTGTACTTTAACTGTTTCTTATCTGCCAAAGCTTGGTAATTTAAAGACTTAGCAAAGTGGAACTTTTGTCTATATACTGGAAAAAGCTTTATCAATGTCTAATAATTGTACTTCAATACAAAATTATATGGGAGGGAGGGACATCCTTTTAAATTGGTTATCAGCAGTTTGATAACATAATTTACTTTTCTTGAATTTTTTTTTTATTCTTCTAGGGGCTGTTTGTTTTATGGCCCTCCTGGCACAGGTAAAACCTTGGTGGCCAGAGCATTAGCTAATGAATGCAGCCAAGGAGACAAAAAAGTGGCTTTTTTTATGCGAAAAGGAGCAGATTGTTTGAGCAAGTGGGTTGGTGAATCTGAAAGGCAACTTAGGCTTCTTTTTGATCAGGTAAGAGAAATAATCTAATTCGAGGGTATTTTCTTTTCTTTTTTTTTTTAAGACAGGGTCTCACTCTGTCACCCAGGCTGGAGTGAGTGCAGTAGCGTGATTTCAGCTCACCACAGTCTTGACATCAGGGCTCTAATGATTCTCCTGCTTCAGTCCCTGCCCAGTGGCTGGAACTACAGGTGTGCGTCACCATGCCCGGCTAATTTTTGTATTTTTTGTAGAGGTGGGGTTTCATCACATTGGCTAGGCTGGTCTCGAACTCCTGGGCTCAAGCAATCTGCCTGCTGATAATATTTTCGTTAGAATATTTAATACATTTAATCTGCAAATGCAAACTGTTTGTGAGGAAGCAGATTTTCCATCCAATATGTTATATTTAGGATCAGTCATCTGTTACTGTATGCCTTAGAGGTATTTAATGGCAGTTTCACTAATACTTTTGAATATTTGTAATGACTCATAAAACATTTATTGAGGTGGCTACCAGGAATATAATACTATGTTAGGTGCTTTAGAGAACACAGGATATAACATATATATTGCTAGATTATAATCCAATTGAGGAACTAGAACAGGCATAAACACTTAAGTATCTGTGCAAGAAATCTCACAAAGCAGTGTGTTATTTTCATGAGTTGTAAATATGATACTAGACTAAATCAGCAAAGAGTGAATGCTTTTAAAAGGCAGAGTGAGGTGAATAAATATGTGGACTATTGTCTACTATCGTAATGAAAACTTTAAAGATGTTATTTCCCATACATTTAAAAAATTATTCCAGCTGGGCACAGTGGCTCACACCTGTAATCCCAATATTTTAAGAGGCCAAGGCAGATGGATTGCATGAGCCCAGGAGTTAAAGGCTGCGGTGAGTAATTATGACACCACTGTACTACAGTCTGGGGAATAGAGTGAGACTCTGTCTCTCAAAAAAGTAATAATAATAAAAAAAATCAGTCCCGATATAAATTCACTTTTAATTGTTTGAGTTAGTGAAGGAAACCATTTATATTTGGCAATGCAGCATATATTTGATTATGTCTAAGGAAACTCATGTGAAATAAAAAATAGCTTCAACAAGCGTTGAGCACCCATTACTAACATGTTGTCTATGAAAGTCCTTTGTAACTGGTAAAGTACTTCACAGTTTTTTTTTTTTTTTTTAAAGAAAGGGTGCTCTGTCACCCAGGCTGGAGTGCAGTGATGTGATTACAGGTCACTGCAGCCTCAAACACTGGGGATCAAGTGATCTTCCGGCCTTGGCCTCTCTAGGTAGAACTACAGGTGTGCACTGCCACCCTTGCCTAATTTTTAACTTTTTGGAGAGGCAGGGTCTCAAGGTGTTTCCCAGGCTGATCTTGAACTCCTGGCCTCAAGCTATCCTCCCACCTTGGCCTCCCAAAGTGTTGGGATTATAGGCATCAGCCTCTGTGTCTGGCCCAATACTATTTAAAATTTAGTAGTAGTATCAAAAATTGCTAGGTAATGGATTTAGAAAAAGGAGCAGGTAAGATTTTTTACCTTGAAGATGTTCAGTGTCTAATGGCGAGTCAAACATGCAGTCTGAATGCTTAAAGATAATTCATTAATAATTAAACACCAAAAATATAAACATTTATAGATGAAGGAAGAATTGGCTTGGCTCTGCTGGCATATTATTCAATGATTTAATTCAAATTTTTAAGGTTACCCTTTTTAGTCATTTCATTCTGGGGCTAGGGATGCCTGTTGGTTTTATTTAAAACCATAGCATAAATCATGCTGCTGCTTTTGTCTCAATTTACTTTATTTCTGTTTCATAGTTTTCATGGTGGGTAGGAGTAGTTGAAATATTTGCTTTTTTTTTTTTTTTTTAGTTGCTGGTAATCATGATTTTTTTTTTTTTGAGATGGAGTTTCGCTCTTGTTGCCCAGGCTGGAGCACGATCTCGGCTCACTGTAGCCTCCGCTTCCTGGGTTCAAGCAATTATCCTGCCTTAGCCGCCCAAGTAGCTGGGATTGCAGGCATGTGCCACCATGTCCAGCTAATTTTATGTATTTAGTAGAGACACAGTTTCTCCATTTTGGTCAGACTGGTCTCGAACTCCCGACCTCAGGGGATCTGCCTACTTCAGCCTCCCAAAGTGCTGGGATTACAGGTGTGAGCCACCACTCCTGGCCCATGATTTTTTTTAATGAAAAATTCTGCATTCCTAAATAAAGGATATAGTCTATGCACTAAATGAAATGAAGGTACTTCAATGTATTGGCTAAGAGAGTGGCTTTCGGTGTCAGAAAAATGTTTATATCTAGCTTTACCATTGAGTATCACTTTAAGTAAATCAAAACATTTCATCTTTAGTAGCCTCTTTTGTGTAATGGTGGAAAGAATATCTATCTTACTAGACTATATGAGATTTTACTGAGAGGACACAAAATATCATAGTGACTGGTACATAATATGCTCTACCTCCTTTTTGCAATCCTATTAGGCTATAGGTGTAAAACAAAACAAAACAGAAAAACAGCTGTTTGTTTCATGTATGTAAAAAGAATGATCAGTACTCTCAAAGCACTGGCATTACAGCTATGAGCCACTGCACTGTGCCATAATTCCAGTTCTTTAAACACTTTTTTCCCCCAAACCCACGTCTTGTGGTTGAATTGTCTTATTTATTTATTTTTCTTGAGACAGAGTTTCACTCTTGTTGCCTGGGCTGGAGTGCAATGGTGTAATTTTGGCTCACTGCAACCTCTGCCTCCCAGGTTCAAGTGATTCTCCTGCCTTGGCCTCCCAAGCAGCTGGGATTATAGGCACCCGCCACCACGCCCAGCTAATTTTTGTATTTTTAGTGGAGATGGAGTTTCACCATGTTGGCCAGGCTATTCTGGAACTCCTGACCTCAGGTGATCCACCCACCTTGGCTTCCCAAAGTATTGAGATTACAGGCATCAGCTACCATGCCTGGCATCAACTGTCTTTCATTTCAAATTATTGGAAAACATTAGAAGTTTAGTGTATATCTATCAGGAGAAATGGAAAATTCATATCTCTTGCTTAGTAAGCTGATCTTCCTGTGAACTGAGAATTTGCTTTAATTTTGAAACATAAGCCACATAAATTTGAGTAAATTATATGATAAAACCTTCTCATTTGTTATCTAATACTCATTCACCTTAAATCAAATTAAGTTCTTTCTAAATCTAGTATTTAAGTTAGGAAAATCACACTGTGAAAACACCAGATGAAAACATGGGAGAATTTTGTTTATAATCTCAGAGTAGAGGTCTAACTATGTAAGGAAAGATCTAGTGCATAAAAACAATTTTAAGATTCTGCATGGCAACAAAATACCTATTTTTGTTTTGTGCTGTTAGAACAGAAGAACACAGACTGTGTAATTTAGAATAAACAGAAATTTATTGACTCACAGTTCTGTAGACTAGAAAGTCCAATATCAAGGCATCTGGTCAGTGCTTTCTTGCTGTGTCATAACATGACAGAAGATAACATCATGTAGCAGAAGGGCAAAGAGAAAGAGAATGCACAGGATAGGGGTGAACTCACTCTCACAATAATGAATCTACTCCTTTGATGTCAGCTACATTAGTCCATTTAGGAGGGTGGAGGCCTCAAGACATACACACTTTTTAAAGTTCCTACCTCCCAGTACCCAATACAATGGCAGTTAAATTTCTCTCTCCCCTTACCTCCCTCCCTCTCTCTCTCTCTCTCTCTCTCGCTCTCTCTCTCTCCCTCCCTCCCTCCCTCCCTCCCCCCATCTCTCCCTCTCTCCCTTTTTCCCTCCCTCCTCTCCCTCCCTCTCTCCACTCTCTTGACTGAGTCTTGTTCTGTCATCCAGGCTAGAGTGCAGTGGCATGATCTCAGCTCAATGCAACCTTCACCTCCCGGGTTTAAGTGATTCTCATGCCTCAGCTTCCTGAGTACCTGAGATTACAGGCGTTCGTTACCACACCCGGCTAATTTCTGTGTTTTTAGTAGAGATGTCGTTACCACACCGGCTAATTTCTGTGTTTTCAGTAGAGATGGAGTTTCACCATGTTGGCCGTGCTGATCTCGAACTCCCAACCTCAAGTGATCCACCTGCCTTGGCTTCCCAAAGTGCTGGGATTACCGGTGTGAGTCACCAAGCCCAGCTGGCAATTAAATTTCAACATGAGTTTTGGAGGGGAAAAACTCAAACCATAGCAATGCTAATCTAAAATATAAATGATATTTTTGCAGGAAAATATTTGCATTTCCTTTTACAAACAGAGCACTTACCTTTAAAATAAATAAGGCTGGGCAACATGGTGAAACCCTGCCTCTATAAAACAAAAATTAGCCAGGCGTAGTGGCATGGACCTGTAGTCCTAGCTACTCAGGAGGCTGAGGCAGGAGAATTGATTGAGCTGGGAGGTAGAGGCTGAGATGAGCCGTGATTGCACCATTGTACTCCAGCCTGGGTGAGAGAGTGAGACCCTGTCTCACAAATTAAAAATAAATACATATAAAAAAATAAATAGCTTCTAGAACTCACTAAACACAAGACTAGTGATCTTGTGAAATAATGGGTAAATGATATGAACAGAACTATCATAGGAAAAGCACTATAAATGACTTTTAAAGCTATATAATGTATTGGTCTTTATTCATGATGTAAACAAGAATTAAAACTAAAATGAGATAACATTCTTTATCCTAAAAAATTAGCAAAGATCAGTAAGTTTGATAATACCTTGCTAGTGAGCACCCTTAAATATTGCTGGTTTGAGGGTACAATGGCACTTCAGTGGATGTCAGTTTGCACGTATCTCACTAGATTAGAAATGACACATGCCTTTTGAGTCAGTAGTTCTACTTTTAGGTCTTATTAATATGTTTATACTCATATGAAATGATAAATACAATTATTTGTTATTTATAATTATTTATTACAATACTGTTGCCAAGAGGAAAATAATGAAAACAGCGTAAGTGTCCATAAGAAGGGGATAGGTTTAACTATGACACATTCATACAGTGGGACATCATGTAGTGTTAGGCTGGGTGCAGTATCTCAGGCCTGTAATCCCAGCAGACTGGCAGGCCAAGGTGGGAGGGTCACTTGAGTCCAAGAGTTTGAGACCATCCTGGTCACTATTTAATTTTTAAAATTTAAAAATTAGCTGGGTGGGCCGGGCACGATGGCTCACCCCTGTAATCCCAGCACTTTGGGAGGCCGAGGTGGGTGGATCACAAGGTCAAGAGATCGAGACCATCCTGGTCAACATGGTGAAACCCTGTCTCTACTAAAAATACAAAAAATTAGCTGGACATGGTGGTGTGTGCCTGTAGTCCCAGCTGCTTGGGAGGCTGAGGCAGGAAAATTGCCTGAACCCAGGAGGCGGAGGTTGCGGTGAGCCGAGATCGCGCCATTGCAATCCAGCCTGGGTAACAAGAGTGAAACTCTGTCTCAAAAAAAAAAAAAAAAAAAAAAAAAATTAGCTGGGTGTGTTGGTGCCTGCCTGTAGTCCCAGGTGCTCTGGAGGCTGAAGCAAGGGGATTGCTTGCCTTTGAGATTGTAGTGAGCTTTGATCATGCCACTGCACTCAAGCCTGGGTGACAGAGTGAGGCCCTGTCTGTAAAAAAAAGAATGAGGCAGGTCTTTATATACTTATATAGAAACTACTTAACATACACATTGTTCTATAAAAAGAATATATAGGCCAGATGTGGTGGCTCATGCCTGTAATCCCAGCACTTTGGGAGACCAGGGTGGGCAGATTACCTGAGGTCAGGAGTTTGAGACCAGCTTGGCCAACATGATAAAACCCTGTCTCTACTAAAAATACAAAAATTAGCCAGGCATGGTGGTGCACACCTGTAATCCCAGCTACTCGGGAGGCTAAGGCAGGAGAATCACTTGAACCCAGGAGGCGGAGGTTGCGTTGCGGCGAGATTGCACCACTGCACTCCAACCTGGGCTACAGAGTGAGACTCTGTCTCAAAAAAATAACTAAACAAAATAAAAATTAAAAAAAAAAAATAGAATGTGTATAGGATGCTATCATGTGTTTTTACAAAATACACTTTGGTTTATGTGTATAAATATGTATGGAAGAATAAACAAACTGAAAACAGTAATTGCTTACTGAAGGAGACATGGTTGTTGGAGACTCGGTGGTAAGATTTCCTCTTTACTATATATTCCCTCATACCTGCTGCATGTTGTACCATTTGCTTTTAATAACTATTAAGAAAGTATAATAAATAAATTAAAAAATGAAAACAAATACAGTATATATCATTTGTTTTCTTTTTACTAGGCATATTTGATGAGACCTTCTATAATATTTTTTGATGAAATAGATGGATTAGCTCCAGTTCGCTCTAGCAGGCAAGATCAGATCCACAGGTAATTTTTCCTTATCTGATTATCTTGAGTTCCTTTTTACCCATTGACTCAGTAGTTAGCCTTAGCCCTTAGCTAAGTGCTGTGAGGCTTACAAAGAATTTTAGGCCGGACACGATGGCTCATGTACTTTGGGAGGCGGAGGCAGGTGGATCATGGAGTCAGGAGATCAACCAGCCTGGCTAACAAGGTGAAACCCCATCTCTACTAAAAATACAGAAAATTAGCCAGGCGTGGTGGCACGCACCTGTAGTCCCAGCTACTTGGGAGGCCGAGACAGGAAAATCGCTTGAACCCAGGAGGAGGAGGTTGCAGTGAGCCAAGATCTCGCCACTGCACTCCAGCCTGGGTGACACAGTGAGACTCTGTCTCAAAAAAACCAAAGAATTTTGAAACATAATCTGTGTCTGTGAGGACTACTTCTTTCTCTTAGTACAGGGATCAGCACACCACAGCCTGTGAGCAAAATCCAGGCCTTTGTGTGTTTTTGTAAATGAAGTTGTATTGGATTGCAACCATGTTTGTTCCTTAAGCATTGTCTGCTGTTTGTTTTGTGCTACAGGAATAGAGTTGAGCAGCTATGATAGACTGAATGGCTTGCAAAATTTAAACCATTTACTATGTGGGCTTTTTTTTTTTTTTTTAATTTGTCGTAGAGATGATGTCTTGCTCTGTTGCCCAGGCTGGTTTTGAACTCCTGGCCTCAAACCATCCTCCTGTCTCAGCCTCCCGAAGTGCTGAGATTACAGGCATGAACCACTGTTTCCAGCCTATCTGACCTTTTACAGCAAAGGTTGCCTCATCCTAATTTGACATAATTTTTTTTTTTAATTTGGAGACACAGTTTTATTTTGTCACCCAGGCTGGAGTGCAATGGCACAGTCGTGGCTCACTGCAGCCTCCGCCTCCTGGGTTCAGGTGATTCTCATGTCTCAGTCTCCCAGGTAGCTGGGATTACAGGCATGTGCTGCCATGCCTGGCTAATTTTTATATTTTTAGTAGAGATAGTGTTTCGACATATTGGCCAGGCTGGTCTTGAACTCCAGGTCTCAAGTGTTCTGCCTGCCTCTGCCTCCCAAAGTGCTAGGATTACATACATGAGCCACTGTGCATGGCAGTAGCATAATGCTTTAAATTTATCCATGTCATGTATTTTTTTTTTTTTTTTTTTTGAGATGGAGTCTCGCTCTCTTGCCCAGGCTGGAGTGCAGCGGTTCAATCTCTGCTCACTGCAACTTCCACTACCTGGGCTCAAGTGATTCTCCTGCCTCAGCCTCCCAAGTAGCTGGGACTACAGTTGTCCACCACCACTCTCATCTAATTTTTGTATTTTTAGTAGAGATGAGGGTTTCACCACGATGGCCAGGCTGGTCTCAAACTCCTGACCTCAAATGATCTGCCTGCCTGGCCTCCCAAAGTGCCAGTATTATAGGCATGAGCTACTGTACCTGGCCTCCATGTCAGGTATGCTAATATTTTATTCTTTCTCACTCCTCTGTAGTATTCCTTAATGTCTATGTGTGTGTGTATACCACTCTTTATTTTTCCATCTACCATCTGATGGAGATTTGTTTTGCTTCTATTTTTAGCTATTATTATAATGCTACTACAGGTTGAGCATCTCAAATCCAAAAATCTTAAATCTGAAATGTTCCAACATTTGAAACTTTTTGAATGCTCACATGACACTCAACAGGAAACTCGATGAAGCTTTTTTGGTTTTGAATTTTGCGATTTGGGAAGCTCCATTGGTAAATATAACGCAAATATTCCAAATCTGAAAAAAATCCCACATTCAAAATAATTCTGGTCCCAAGCATTTTTAAGAGACTGGGTCTCATTCTGTTACCTAGGCTGGAGTGCAGTGGTGTGATTTATAGCTCACTGTAACCTCAAACTTCTAGGCTCAAGTGATCCTCCTGTCTCAGCCTCCTGCATAGCTAGAACTGCAGGCATACACTATCCCACCTTGCTGATTTTTGTATTTTTTGTAGAGACGGAATCTCACTATGTTGCCCAGGTTGGTTTCTAACACCTAGTCTCAAGCGAGCCCTCCGTCTTGGCTTCCCAAAGCATCTCTGCAAGTTTTTGTTTGGACATGTTTTCTTTTCTGTTGGATAAATGCCTAAGTGAGGAATTTTTTTGGATCCTATGGTAAATGTATATTTAAATTTGTAAGGTAACACTGTACTGTTTTCCAAAGTAGTTTTTACTATTTTTATTTTCCTCTTATGTATGATAATTTGAGTTGTTTCTCATCCTTGCCAATAATTGGTGTTGTTAACTGTCTTTAACTTTAGCCATCCTAGGGGGTGTACAGTAATGGATTTAATTTACATTAATAGTAATACAAGTAATATTGAGCTTTAATATTAATCCAGTAATACTGATCATCTTTGTGTTTATTGCCCATTTATATATTTTTATTTGTGAAATGTCTGCTAAAATCTTTTGCCCTTTTTTAAAACCAGAAATTAGATTGTGTGTTTTATCGTGTCGTAGTTCTTGTTTTTTTTTTGAGACAGTCTTGCTCTGTTTCCCTGATGAAGTGCAGTGGTGGGTGTTGTCTCAGCTTACTGCCACCTCTGCCTCCCAGGTTCAGGTGATTCTCCTGGCTCAGCCTCCCGAGTAGCTGGGATTACAGGCATGTGCTACCATGCTTGACTAATTTTTATATTTTTAGTAGAGACAGGGTTTCGCCATGTTGGCCAGACTGCTCTCGAACTTCTAACCTCAAGTGATCCACCCGCGTTGGCCTCCCAAAGTGCTGGGATTACAGGTGTGAGCCACCGCCCCTGCCCCAGTCCTTGTATATTCTTTACGCAAGTCTTTTGTTGGATCTGTGTTTTGAAATTTTTTTCTGGTGTTCTGGCTTGTGTCTTTGCTTAGCTATGACTTTTGAAGAGCAAAGGATTTTAATTTAGATAAAGCCACAATATAGATTTTAAAAATATATCTGTGCCTTTTGTGTTCTGCTTGAGAAAAATTGCCTAAATAAGTGTGGCAATAATTTTCTTTGAAAATAGTAATAGTTTTAGCTCCTAATTTTTTTTTTTTGACTCTCATTCTGTCAACCAGGCTGGAGTGCAGTGGCGGGATCTCGGCTCATTGCCACCCCCACCTCCCGGGTTCAAGCAGTTCTCCTGCCTCCACCTTGAGTAGCTGGGATTACAGGCATGTGCCACCACACCCAGCTAGTTTTTGTATTTTTAGTAGAGAGGGTTTCATCATGATGGCCAGGCTGGTCTCGAATTCCTGACCTCAAGTGATCTACCCACCTTGGCTTTCAGAGTGCTGGGACTAAAGGTGTGAGCCATTGTGCTTGGCTTTAGCTCTTAATATTTAAGTCAATGATTCACTTTAAGTTAATGTTTGTGTGTCAATATGAGGTGAGGGTTTGAGTTCATTTTTTTTTTTTTTTTTTTTTTTGAGACGGAGTCTTGCTCTGTCGATAGGTTGGAGTGCAGTGGTACAATCTCGGCTCACTGCAACTGCCGCCTCCTGGGTTCAAGAGATTCTTCCGCCTCAGCCTCCTGAGTAGCTGGGACCACAGGCATGTGCCACCACGCCTGGCTAATTTTTTAAATAGTTTTAGTAGAGATGGGGTTTCACCATGTTGGCCAGGATGGTCTCTATCTCTTGACCTCATGATCCGCCCGCCTCAGTCTCCCCAAATGCTGGGTTTACAGGCATGAGCCACTGTGCCTGGCCTGAGTTAATTTTTGTAGATAGTTTAAGATATGGACTGAAGTTTATTTTTTTAATAGAAAAATTTTTTTTTTTTTTTTTTGAGACAGTCTCATTCTGTTGCCAAGGCTGGAATGCAGTTGTGCGATCTCAGCTCACTGCAGCATTCCCCTCACCGGTTCAAGGGATTCTTGTGCTTCAGCCTCCTGAGTAGCTGGGATTACAGGTGTGTGCCACCACACCTGGTGAATTTTTGTATATTTAGTAGAGAGGGGTTTCACCATGTTGGCCAGGCTGGAAACTCCTGACCTCAGGTGATTCTCTCACCTTGGCCTCCCAAAGTGCTGGGATTACAGGCATGAGACATAACACCCAGACTATTTTTAATATAGATATTCATTTATTCCAAGACCATATGTTGAAGAGTTTATTTTGTCTTTATTAAATTTCTTGGCACATCTTTGTCAAAAATTGACCATATAAATGTGTGTCTATTCCTAGATTTGTTAGTTGATTCCATTGATCTACAGGTCTATCCTTATACTACTGTCTTGATTTATGTAGCTTTACATTAGTTCTTTTTGGTGTAAGTCCTCCAACCTTATTCTATTTCAAAATCGTTGTAGTCATCTGTTGTCTTTCCATATACATTTTTAAAGCCTCTTGTCAGTTTCTTTAGAAAGGACTGTTGGGATTTATTTGGGATTAGATTTAATACTTGGATCTATTTGGGAAGAATTGCATCCTTAACTTATTCCTCTTTCAATCTATGAACATGGTAAATCTGTTCATTTATTTAGGTATTCTTTAATTTCCTTTTTTTGTGTCTTACAGCTTTTAGTATAAGGATTGTAGGCATCTTTTGTTTAATGTATTCCTAAATACTTTATTGTTCATTTAATGTGAATGGAGTTTGAAGAGAAAATTTATTTCCTGATTGCTTACTGCTGATACATAAAAATACAACAGAGTTTATAGGCTTTGTATTCACAAGCTCGCTAAATTCATTTATTAGTTCTATTAGTTTTTTGTGGTTTCCTTAGGGTTTTATACATGTATCTTATTTGCAAATAAAGATACTTTTACTTGTTCCTTTCCAATCTATGTCTTTTATTTCTTTTTCTTCTTCGGCTAGAATTCACAGTTAAATAGTAATGGTGATAATGGAAATCATTGCTTTGTTTCTTTAGTGGCTGTAAAACATTGAGACTCTCACTGTTGACTGTGATTTTAACTAAGTTTTTCATAGGTGCCCTTTATTACATTGAGGGATCTCCACTACATTCCTAGTTTGCTGTGAGGGTTTATTTTACTGG